CTTAGTTTATTTATTGATAAACTAATTGAATCTTTTTAACCATAAATATACAAATAAAGAAAGCTCCAATAACAAACAGAAGAAGGATATCCCACGGGATTTAATTTATTCATTTTTATTTATTTAACAAATATTCGCCCACATTCGCATTAATGTAATGCATTTTTCTTACTTATGCATGTGACTGTTTTTTTGTCACCCGCCATTGCATATCATGTCACGCACACTAGTTAACATGTTAACAAAATGGCGTCCGCACTCACAGCACACACGCGGAGCGAGAACGACTGCAATCTGGTGCCAACGCCAACCGCAATGTGAACTTTTCGCTTTCCTTTTGCTTTCGCTTCAAGTAATGGAAAAGTGAAAAGAAATCCTGCCCGCTGTGTTCGGAGGCCATCTGGTGCTGGCGTTTCAAGTTGAAAATTTGCAAACAAGCCGAGGGGCGCACAAAAATTAAATGTTCCAGCTTAAGGCTTTATCTCGAGTTTTATGGTTGTATAAGAAAAAAAATATACATTTTTTAATAGAAAAAATAATGCATAATTTCTTAAGAAAAAATTTAAATGTTTGATTTTTTTGATTAGTTTGTAAATGGGGAATAAAGACACTTTTAATTATTAAACATTTATTATGTCCTTTCCTATTTAATGATTTTTTATAGGATTCTTTATGGTAACAATTCTGCATCGTTTACATTGTTCCCTGCAGTGAACGGCAACCTTTTTGCGAGAGTAATTTTACAGAGCACAAGGTCATGGTGGGAAATCGCAAAAGTTTCTCCAGCAGACCACATAAAAAGCGAAATTTAAGCCACACACGCAGAGCAGAAGACAGACGACAGTTTGCGCCAAGGCCACACTCGCTGGCACACTCCCTCACACACACACAAGCACACCATTAAACCAGCACACAAACACAGAGCATTAAGTCAGATGCCGCCATTTTGTAACCATTTTATCATGGCAAACAGAAGCGGCTTACAGTCGCCCCCAACCAAGTTCTCTTCTTGTTGTTGGCTTGAATTGTTTCGGCTTGAAGTTGATGAATTTCACTCACGCTCAGTGTCTGTCTGAAAAGTTTTTTTTATTTTTGTGCTAAGCACAATGGCCAGGAAACTTTTTTGGGGGACGGGATGCTCGTTGAGAATGTATGGAAGCCCCGAAAAACTCGTCACTTGATTAGTCCACACGGCAATTAGGCAAATTGCCGAGCTGCATTTTAAATTCCCACATGCTTATCGACTTTGACTCTGATTAGCCCCCAAAAGGTGGCAGCACTGGGCTCTCAGGCGTAATTACATTAACCATTCCGAAAACATACCTCCAGCTGGCAGAGTCCCCGCAAAAAGACCGAGTCAGAGTCGTGCAATGTCACTCACTGCTGGGCATTCAATGTGCCACGAAACGTTTCCATTATTCAGAACGTGGTGCAAACAACTCGACCGACAAGCCAACAACCTCCGCCTGCGTGTAAGACGCAGTGGGTACAGCGACTTTCCCTCCTGGTCAGCCCGCCCACAGGCCTCCTTTCAGTGCACCGGTGAAATTCCATGGCATACGCACAGCATATTCGGAAGTGAACTTGCCTACTAACCTTGCTGGTGCATGTGCCATGCGATTGCCCCCAGGATAACCCACAATACCAACAACAACTTCGACTACATAAACAAAAACAACGACGCACGAAAACTGCAAGGATGTGCTAACATGGATGGCATGTAGTGAGGCGAGGAGGCCGGTGGGCCAGCTTGTAATTAAAGTTCTTTAGTGGAGTGTCGGGACTACTTACTAAATTGGGATAGGGTCAGGTTTTGGTATAGCACAAGACCCTTTAAAAAAATTTAAGATCTTAAAAACTATAAAAATTAAAAGGAAACAATATTTTACATCTGTAACTGCAATCCAGTGAACGATCAACCGCAAGCCCTAAAATGCAATTGTATCTGAAGAGTCCTTTGACAAAAGAAAAAGCCCGAAAGGATGACGAAAAAAAGTGAAAACGAAAGATATTGTAGGACAAAGCTATCGTTGGCCGCGCATCGCTAACAAAGTGTGTTACAGCCACGCGGCAACCACCGGTTAGCCATGTTTTCTGCCTCAGGAGTAACACAGAGTCGTCGCTTGAATGCACTGAGGGCTCCTCCCTTTCCTCGCTCGCCCTCCACCCCTTTCTCTTTCATATCCCAATCCCCCCAGCCATACCCGATTCTGGCCATATTTCCTCGTTCTATTTCTTTTGCCCAGCTGCTGCGTCTCATTGGCTTTTGGCCACTCTGTGGAGGGGGGTTTTTGTTTGGTGGCCGCCTGTGGCTGGCAAAACGACAAAATGTATGCTCTGTTCCGGCTGAATTGCAGATTTTCATCCTCAGAACCTCACACACATTGCTGGCAAACAGTTGCTTATTCCTTGTGCCTTTATGTGCAACAGGGTTGTCGTTTTGGCTATTTCATGACCCGTTTTGGAGGTGTTTTTATAAAAGTATCCATTAGATGCTTCTTAAATTGTCCAAGCCAGTTACTGAACGGCTGCGAATGACAATCTTTGACAATATTTATCCAATTCTTGAAAGGAACACCTTAAGTATAGTTCAATTCTCTATTAATCTGCATTAAAATGTAAGTATAACATATTTTTAAAAGTTGTTGTCAAATTTTGTGCAGGATCCTCTTCAAAAAAGGGGAAAATGAGTGGAGGCACAAAGTCTCTAGCAAAGAATATATCTTTGGCAATTTTCATCCGATTCTTGAACGGAATACCTTAAACGATTTGTAGATCAATTCTCTATTAATCTGCATTAAAATGTAAATATAAAATATTTTTTTAATTTTTTGTCATATTTTGTGTAGGATCCCCTTAAAAAAAGGGGAAAATGAGTGGAGGCACCAAATGGCCTCTAGCGAGGGGCATATATTTGACAATATTCATCCGATTATTGAGCGGAATACCTTAAACGATTTGTAAATCGATTTTCAACCAATCTGCACAGCAATCTGCAAAATTTGGAATTTTTTTTTTATAAATTTGTTTTATAAATTCTTATAAATTATTATTTTCCTACATACGTTTTTTTTCCAATTTTAGCATCACTGGGCGCCTCCAAAAATGGTGCTGGCTTTCACTTTGCTTGGAGAGGGATCAGCAGGACGCTGAGAAACAATGTTTTACCATTTGGTCGCATATTGCTAATGGAAAGGAGCAGAGCGCACACAAGCACACAGACTCACCTGGCACTGGCTGGGGATTATCCGGGCAGTTCCCCAACATACTTTCGGATCATATCTAAATTGAAAAAGTTCGTGGAGCGATGCCGTGTGTCAAATGTGTCGCCTTTTATTTACATTTTATTTTCATGGGAAACGTGTGCCAGGCCGGATAATCGATTCAAATCGAAAGGGAATCCAAAATCCGCTTACAAATACCATGCCATACGCCTTGTCGACGTGTCGTTGACAGCCGGCTGTCCGGCAAGCAATAAACAAAAATAATGTGCCCTGCTTCCAGGCGCGCTACATAAATTATAACATTAAAGACACCGATAGGGCATAAAAATCTTATTTATTCGCCAAAATCGCTGCGTCGGACTTTCCCCATCAATGACTATTCCCAGCCCGGATAATTCCCGGCCATAAATTAGGCAGACAAAAGTTGGAGCCCCTTAAATTGGGAGGGCTCACTAACCGGGCTAGGATGAAATTAAAATCTGCTGATGCTTAGTCGATTTAGTTCGTATTGCCTCCAAACAAGTCCCTTCGATTTTGTTTGTGTGTTTAAGCAGAGGCGTCTAGAAGGGGTTTGATATCAGAAGTATTGAAAGAATTAAGAATGTGGTTTAATATTTCATATTTTATGAATAGAATCATGACTTTGAAATATTCCTTATCTAATCAAAAAAGATGTATCCCCTGTCAGAGTTCTTCCTAAGCCTCTGACTGGTTACCCATTAGTGACTGTTCAATCCATTCACCAGGCACCTCAAACTTTGCCAGAAATGTTCATCGGACGAAGCTCATTACGTATTGATGCCCTCTCATGTGAAATAATTGCCGTAGTTGTCCATTAGCATTTAATAATTCATGGATGCGTGTCTATCCTTCTATCACTCTGCTCGTCTGGGGCAGGGGCGGGGGTGGGCGTGTCCGTGTCCCTGTCCATGTGAGCTAACAAAAGTCAAACCAGTGTTGGCGTTGAGGCCATTAAGTTCAAGCAATCAGGCACAATGTGCAAACCCTATTAGCTTTTCGATGTTGCCTCGGATGAGCCAACAATGTACGATGAGTGAGTGGATTATCGTTGCAATGATTATTCAGGCGAACTTAACATATGCAGTTGATGGATAATAATGCCAAGTTGGGCAGTTGATTGATAAGCTTGTACGCATTGTTCTTCGAGTGAGAAATACTTACTTATCCCATTGATTTTAGACTCTTCAGACTGATAAGCTCACACTATTATAAAATAAAAATTCATAACTTGTTATTTATATTTTAAAATCCCATTTTATTTTTCCGAATAAAGTTGAATTTACATTATTTATTATTAACATGTACCAATACAGATATCTAATAGTTTGTTTGCAAAAAGCATTCAGGCAAATACTTTTTCAAGCCTAAATTAAAATACATTTCACAGGAAACAAAGTCGGCCAATACACATAACGTAGTATGCTTTTTTTGTAGTGTAAAATAAATTAAAATATCTGAAAGCTTGTTTACACACTAAATAAATGAGAAGATTATGAAACAAACTACAAGTTACATGTTTTAATGTATGTTTAATGCTTTTAAACTGATCACAGCAAATTTTGTATAATACCCAAGAACGAAAACGAGCAAAGTTTTAATAATAATTTAATCACTTAAAAATCTTTTGTTTTTTTTTGTTTATTTTCCTTGTACAATTTTCCTAAACATTTCAAATTCAATTTATCTTTTAGTTAGTATTTTCTAGGTATTTACAGAGATGTTGTGTTCAAATATTTTGCTAAAAATGAATCCAACTCGGTGCTAATAACTCTGATTTATTTACTCTGGTTTCTTGGAAAGCAAAATATAAACTCTACAACTAGTCACAATGGTTTCTATGTCTATAAACAGTTTCCGTTTAGCCATTATCTTTTTGATTTCACAAATGTCTATTTTTTTCAGAAAACTTCAACAAAATGTCTTAACTTTTTACAATTGATTTCATGGACGTGAAAGGAAAGTTGGAGTTCTAGCTCTGAATGGCTTCCTGGCTCGTTCCTTTTTTGAGTTCTTGAGGGCTTTTTAGTTTATGCGTGTGTGTATGTGTGTGGGCGGGTGAAGGAGTGGGCGTGGGTGCGTATTCGACGCCGTTAGTTGATGTCGAAATGTTGCGCCTAAAAAAAGTTTGTTGTTATTAGTTTACGGGTGTGTGTTAGTGACTGTGTATGGCGAGCTTGTGTGTGTGTGTGTTTCTGGGTTTAGTATTTTAACATTTAAATTAAATTTTAAACTAGGCAACAAATTGAATTTGTTGAGTATTCTCTTCTCCCCAAGCATGTTGTCTTTTCTATTTTGTTTTTGGCATTCTTCTTTCTTACTGCTAATGAAAGTTTCTTATTTCCCCTTTTTTTCTTTCTTTTTCATTTCACTTTTTGAACTTTCATTTTATTTAGTTGAGTTTCGGGTGCCTTGGTCTAAAGGAATTTATAGTAGGAGATACTTGTTTTGGTTGTTCTCGGTCTGTGCGGCCAGTGTATGTTGGATATGCATACTAGTGAGTCTTTGGCGGAGGCTCAGACACATTCGGTGCCCGGTTCACACAGGGGGTTAGCAGACTAGGTTGGGATTAGAAATAAATTTAATTAGTAAGTTAAAGTAAAATAAAAGTGGGAAAAATAAAAGTTAAATAATAAAAAATAATATTAAAAACTTAAAACCTTTAGAAAACTATAAAAAACTTAATTCCAATTAAAAATCATTTCTGCCTGCAATTACCTGATTGTTTAAACATTTAATTAAATCATGCTGCCACTAAGCTTGTGGCCTGAAATTCGGTCAATTGAGTTAGCCTACTTGTATGCAAATTTAATTTTTGTTCATTGGTTGCCTCAGGCGTATAGAAAATCCCTCTTAATGCCATTTTGTTTAATTTTGCGTTATTATCACCGGCCTTTGTTGTCGGCTACCGAAGGAATTTACACTTTTTTTTATTAATTAACCGCTTTAATTGAAATTGGCAACGAAGCACTAATATAATGTGCTGTATGTATAATGCAAGGTAAACGCAATTTAAGCGAAATATTCGCTAATTTATTCGTTCTTTCCGAGTTGCTTTCATGGCTTAACGCAGCAGCAGCAGCTGTCTGGCTGGTGGATATTTTGACGCTCCACTGACGCCGTTTAATTGGCCTTTTAGTTAATTGGTCAATTGATATGCATGTTTTGATTGCATTGGCAGAACTGCAATTAGCAGCGTGGACCCCGCGGGCCACGTCAACAGGCCCGGCTCGGCTCGGTTTGGAAATTTTGAAAAGCAATGAGTCAGGACACTCGAAAGGATTATAAATTAAATCATAGAGTAATAAAATGATAATTAAATTGTACACACGGGCCAACAATTAAGTAATATAATATAACAATAATGTTCTAATGTGTGTTTTGTGACCACAACTTACCGTTGTTAATAGATAATTGCGACTGCGGTTTCGAGGCCTGAAACTTCATGCCTCGCAGCATTTTAAATAAAATATTTGCAAATTGGAATACGGTTAACTTTCAATAGACAGGTGGATAAAAGTACGGGAACTCTCTAACAATAGACTAAAAAATTCACAACAATTTCCAGGACTCCTTTAACTTTGATCTTACGTCCTACCCGATTATCAACTACTTGGATCGCGTTTCTTAACCCTAAATACAACTATGATACGCACACTTAGCACACTATTTACAACACTAACTTAGCACCTAGATCTGCCCTTAGAACCTCACGTAGCTAAAGTCATTCGTATTGGTCGCCATCGGTGGGACGGACCCGCTTACCTCCTCCTCCATGGCAGTGGCGTACATGTGCGGCGTCACGTTCTTCTCCAGACTAAAGTGATCCTCCGTGGTCTTGTGGTACACAGGATTCTCAAAGTTCATGGAGTTCACTGTCCGCGTGCAACGTCTATACACAAATATAGCTAATAAAATGGTTAAAGATGTGCCTGCTAGACTGCAAAGCGTAATAATGAGGATATAGCCTTTCGGTGGTTCTTGCGGGCCCTCGGGCTTTCCATGGGGCGTATTGATTTCCGTCGTGTTTCCAACTGTTGGAGAAACAATCATAACAAAAGATGTTTAGTAAGAATGGTAATATCATAGATTATTTCTACAATTGATACAAAATGTATAATGTAAAGCACACCAAATCCCAAAGCATGTATTTTAATTTCATGTAATATTTTAGTGGAAAGCAGCATATCTACAAACAGGTTAAAGTCATTACACCCAGTATACTATTAAATAAGATTCAGCCACAAGCTGTTTACAAATTTTTCATGTTTTCCAAATATAATTAAAACGTTGTCTTTGGCTTGGGATAAAATAGAGAAAAAGCAAATCCGTCGACGACGATGACTACATCCCGTGGCGAATGTTTCCGCTTTTGGGTTTTTCCCGGTTTTACTGTCGACTTTGGTGCTCTTTTCTTTACTGTCCTTTTGGTTTTCTGGGGCCAGGAAGTTGTAGGATTTTTCCGCTGTCATCATAATTCGTTTTCGTATTTTTCCGTTTAGAATTTGTTCAACAGCAGGAAAAAGCAGAAAGTTAAGCGCAGGAGGCGCGCGTTCGTCTGGCAAAGGATGTGCCGCGCGTTTAACTCTGACTTTTCCTCCAAAAATTCCCGCCATTGTTGTTGCTATTAATTCCTGCCCTATGAGTGTCCAGATGAGGCGTGTGGCAGGGAATTATCATTAAAAGTTGATAGCGGCAACAGCTGTGCGGCATCGATTATGGCCAACTTGGGCGTGGGCGCGTTAAGATGCTGCAAATTTATTTTGGCGGCATTAACAGACAGTCAAATGGCAGCGGGCCAACATTTGAAAAGTTGCACGTTGCTGTGGCATATTAATTGCGGGATTCCTTCTGGTTTAAGTGTGTGCTTTTGAGGGGGCGGGGATATAAAATAGACGATGGGAACGCCAGATGTTGGTACGGCATAAATTGGAATTATTTTTTTCCGTAGTTAAATATATATTTTACAATCCTGTGTAATCGTTTTTAAAGCTTGTCCAAGAAAGTGGGTAATTGAAGTTTTTTGTTTTGGTGAAATGAGAATCTGACTTTGATAAACAATGCCAATATTTATAAAATGTAGAGTAATTTTGTCCAGTGTCCCTAAAAATTTGCATTTACTCATCATACTACCTCGCATCAAGTTTTATGTTCACCCATATATGTCATCCTATATTATGCCGCACTCCTAATCTATAGAAAATGCAATTTCCGTTCCCGCCTCAGACACACGCACGCCCCACGTTGAAACATGTAACTGAGAGTTATGCCTCATCGCCCATTTGTATAATCCTGCACATGTGTTTTCATATTTATTTCACAACTCCGACTCTGAATTATATATAGCAGGTGCGTGGCTCCCGAACCCCTGCCCTTCTTAACTGCCATCACTGGCAAACGGAAGTGCCATAAAAAGTACGACAAAATGGATGCCAAGCCACAATTTTCCTTCCCAAATGAAATAAAAACGCATAAAATATGTTCCGTCACCTGTTTGGGGATATTTTGTTTGCCGAGGCGGGGAGGGCATCTAAACAGATTAGATAGACCAGCACAACAAAAAAAGTTTAAAAGTTTTATGAAAAAAAAATAAATGAAAAATAGAATGGGAAACTCAAAAATCGTATGGCTGAAAAATAAACAAAATGGCGGCTGTGCTGGGCCATGTTTGTGGAATTGTTTCTCCTTCAGATTTGGTGTTTCTCTCTTTTTTTCAGGCAATATGCAGTAAAGTTAGAGACTGACAATAACAATTGCCGGACTGACCGAAATGCAGGCAAATGAAAGTCATAAAATTTTGCAAGGAGCACGACCGACAGCGGCAGCTGTTCACCCACTTTTCGCCACATCCGCCGGAGTGAGCTCGGTTTTATGTGGTTGGCTATTAAAAACGTAGCCGCTACTTCGACGGCTCAAAGTTTATGGTTACTAGGTCCAGGGCCTCGTCCTCCGATCCCCCATCTTCGTGGTGGGTGTCTCTGGGGTATTTGCAGAACTTTGCCTGCGCTTAATTAAGCAATTTGAAGTGGGCAAAGATGGCCATAGAAAAAGTAGCACAAACCGCTAATTGAAATTGCAGTTATGCTGGACCGAGCGGGAGCGGCGTCATCATCATTGGCATGGCAAGGCCATCTAATTGAAATAGTCCTTAACTAGTTTATAGTTATTTACTCGGCCGCGCTTCTGCAAACTTTTCTTGCCGGCTTTCTTTTTACTTAATTTTTCTTAAGCCCTCGTTGTCGTCATTATTCTTTGCCTCTCAGATATGTCCTTCGGTCCAGGTCCTCTCTGCCCAAGTCCAAGTCCTGAGCTGATTAGTGTTTTCCGCCCCTCGACCTTAGTAAATATTTAAGCTATGACTTTTTTTTTTTAAATTGGCATAATTACGCACAATTGTGTGGGCTTCTTGCTAATCTTTCCCAGGAAACCCAACATTCATTCGGAAGTTTCCTCATTTAGGACAAAAAAAAGGCAAGTAAACATTAAGTGCATTAAGTTATGGATTAAAATTAATGTTTAAGACTTAAATAGGATCCTTCTATCGACACACAAAGTCTTGTTAAAGATTCCGTGTTCTTTTGTCGAACAATTCAAGCGATTTTCTTTGGTTCAAGGAACAATAACGAATACCCTTTATTGGCCTTATTTATTCCATGGAACAAAATTGAAGATAAATTTGGTTGCCACAGCAAAATATCTGCTGTTCGTTTCCAATAATTGAGGACTTTGCATTTTTCAATTGCAAGTGATCAAAGCCCGTCTGCCGACAGCCGGCAAAATTTGCGTTTATTAAAAATAATGATACACCATTTAGACGAGCACATGACATTCGTTTTTCGGATCAATAATAAAAGGAACAGAAATATAGGACCGGACAAAGCATACATACTGCAACACAAAAATGTGTAGAAATGGCAAGTTATGGGCCTGTGGTGGTTCACATTTTTTGGGGATAAACCACCGGCCAGATAGGGGTAATTTATTTTGCCACATAGCCAGGGTAAATATTTCTCTCGAACGTCGACAGTTTCGAGGTGTTGACAGTGCCAATTTGCTGGAGGATCATGATGATGATGCCGATGACGAATATCTGGTTAAACTATTTGCCCCGCTCCCTATCAGTTTCGTATTCGGCCATGTGTGGGTGTATAGTTGGTGTATCTTTTGGTGTGGCTTGTGTACAATTTAATTTCATGGCGATTTGCCGACGACTCTGCCGCCTGTCGCAGATATGTCAGATGGCTGAACTGTTGCCCAGGCTTGCCCTGGGTGCCCCGGGTGCAACTGGTGCCCCCAGTACCCCGTTTGCCGTTGCGGTTGTCAGCCGTTCATCATTCCCATTCCCACCCGGATTCACATCCACATCCTCCATAACGTTGTCATTCTGTCACAGAGCAGTTCGCAAATTGCACGGAGAAATTTGCCCGGGTAAGTGGTGGGACACTGGAGGATGGAGGACGAGGACCCGCTTAAGTTCAGCAAGCTCCCGCTCCCTGGGAATCGGTATGGTGCTTCGTTGCCATTAAACATGTCACCAATGCTTCCCTTTTGTGGTTTTTGTGTTGTGTGTGAACCCGATATTTATGTTTTACGTTCCCAGTCCCAGCACCAGAACCAGCACCGGCTCGGAGCTCAGCTCGTTCGCATTTTGCATGAGTGCCTGTTCAGTGGTTTGAGCCAAAGTTTTGGGTGTGGTGGTCTGTGCATTTTGAGTGATTACGTCGATATCATTGATGTTGATTTATGATGATGATGATGGCCCGGGAAATCGTAAAAATGCGACGAAATTAAAAAGGCGAGAAGACCAGGTGAAAATGTATTTACCACAACCAGTGTGGCAATCCCACATGAAACACTGAAATATTAAATGAACCAGCACCGGATGTTGCTACAAGGACTCAAGGTGTTAAGGACAATACACACAAACAGATATCTTATGAAGTCCCTACATGTACCACCACCATAATAGTAGAAAGAGTTCTCATACCCGGCACTTCGCTGTGCGTTACTTGAGGTAGTTCTGTGGTTGAGACTGGCGACTTGCTTGTCGTCTTGTGGATCGGCCTTCTGCCGTGCTCATTTGGCACATACACTACGGGAAGAGTAATTTTATATAAATGCGGGAATTACAAGCTGGCAGAAGCGCGCAGTGCAGATGGCCACTTAATAGGCCGCAACCGCAACAGAAAAGCGCTTCATGCAGCGCGGCCACAAAACGCATCAGTTCAAGTGGACAGTTCGTTGTCCGGCGCATCAAATCCCATTACGAAATCCCCTCGTAAAATACCCAAACAACAGCAACATGGCTACTTACGATCTTCGACACACATGAGGCCGTCGGACATCAGTTTCAGGCCCGTGGGGCAGGCGCAGGATATGCGAGGACTCCGCTCGTTAATCCTGGGGGCTGGCAGACAGAGGTGGGAGCAGTGGCCGTTGACCGACTGGCAGTGGTTCACGCCATCGGGTTGACGGTACGGATGGTACACATGCACCACCATAGGATGTTCGAGCTGCAAATGCGTGGATGATTGGTATTACTAATAAAGTATCACTAACTACTTTTGTAAACCTACCATGTGAGTCGCTGTAACCGCTTCCACGTCCTCTCCAGTGAACTTGTTGGCCTTGAAGACGGCCTGCTTGTCCCAGTCCGTCCAGTAGACGTGGTCCTCGAACGTGGTGATGGAGAAGGGATGCCGCAGGTATTCGCTGGAGTACAGCACCTGACGGCGCTGGGTGCCGTCGAAGTTGGCCGACGATATGATGTTCAGCTTGCCGTCCACCCAGTAGATCCGCTTTAGCACCAGATCCAGGGTGATGCCATTCGGCCACTTGACGTCGTAGGTGATGATGGCGGTGCGGTGGGAGCCGTCCATACCCGCCCGCTCGATGCGAGGGGATGCGCCCCAGTCGGACCAGTACATCCAGCCATCGATGGGGTCCAGGGCGATGGAGCGGGGAATGTCTACGGCATCTTCGATAAGCACTTTGCCCATGCTGCCCTCGAAGTTGGTCAGCTCAATGGCACATTTGTGGGTGTCCGTGTAGTAGACGTGGTTATAGATCCAGTCCACGGCCAGTCCGTCGGAGGTCACAGAGCTTCGCTTCAGCACTACCGTCTTCTCGTTGCCCTCGTCGATGGGGGACTTGTAGATACTCTGGGTGGTCACGTCGCTCCAGAAGATCATGCCCGTGCGGAAGACAAAGTCCAGGGCGGTGGATGACTTGGTGCTATTTACAATCGAAGTCATTTCCGGCCGGTCGAGGGCAATTTTCCGGATATCGTGGCGGCGGGTTAAAAGCAGGGAGGCATGCCCCTCGCTGGCCTTGCAGCGGGTGTGATTGTGCATGACCCTCATGTAGCCCTCCTGGCATTCGCACTTGAATGATCCAATCTGGTTGATGCACTCCTGGGAGCAGACGCCGGGGGTCTCGCACTCATCGATGTCCACACAGCTGCGGTTGTCGGGGGCTAGCTTGTAGCCCGGACGGCACTCGCAGCGGTAACCCACGGCCTGGTTGACACAGGTGTGCATGCAACCGCCGTTCGAGGTGGCGCATTCATTAACTGCACACTTTCCGGCGGGCTCGTCTTCGCCATTGGGGCAGTCCTTCCGCCTGTCACAGACCTTGGCAAGGGGGATGCACTGGCCGCCGCCGCAGTCGAACTCGCTGGTGGCATTGCAGGGCTTTATAGGAGCAGCCGAGGTGCAGTTTAGCTCGTCACTGCCATCCGAACAGTCACCCTCCCCGTTGCAGGTCAGGTGTCCGGCGATGCAGCTGCGATCCTGGCACTGGAACTGATCTGGCCGGCAACTAACCTTCGGGCAATTCTCCTCTGACTCGTCCTCGCCTCCGGTACAGTCCCTTTCGCCGTCACATACCCAGCTCCTATGCAGGCAAGTTGTGCGATCATTGCATTGAAACTCATTCTGCTGACAGAATCCAATACCGCTATACATTTTGGTGGTGGTGCAGTTCTGGAAGGAAAACAGGGATTCGCGATTTCAGGATTAGAATACCTCAACGTAATGGCATTTTTTGTTTAAGTTCATGGGCATCATATAAAAGATGAATCACGGCGAGTGGCGGGGATAAAGGAAGTTAACTTTACTATGGAAACAACGCTTTGCTTTTCTTGTTAAGTGCCAACCAAATATTCTGGCAGCTAAGCCTGGTTTACAAACACACACATATTGCACCATCAGGAACACCGCAGTTCCCTTTTGTCCTTTTTATAGGATTTTTTGTGTTGCACACTTTTACGAGCTGCTAGAAAGATTTTCCACATTTTATACTCTTTCGAAAACACTGTTTTTGTCGGGGAACATATTTCTGAAGGTGTTGAAAACATTTTATTAAAAATTATTTTCTATATATTATGGTTTAGGTGAAATTTTAATTATAAAATTTTTTCCAATTAATTGGATAGTTAAGCTTTTAACTTTTCCAAAGTTAATACCTGGTATACAAAGTTGGAAATGTTGGTAACACAAACATATTTTTGAAGCACAAAGTGCATAAAATATGCGGCTTGTTAGAATAGTTTCGTCCTTTGTTTTTATTGCTTTTCGGTGCCATGCAATTTCGGGCAGCACACCACCCCATCCCAGCCCACTGACAACAAAAGCCATGCGTCATACATATAAATGTTTATGGGGAAACAGTTGCCGACATGGTCCTCGTCGTCGTTGCCAGTTTTGAATAATGCTCGCGTCTTGCATAATTTATGCTTCCGAGCCCGCTCCCTACAACTATGTATGTACATATTTATGTGCGAGGGCTGTTAAACAAGTTGCGGGAAATGTGTGTGGCTTGCTAATGTTCGCATATCAAATTTCATTTCAAGTTGAAGGTGATGAAGCGACATGTCCCCATCATATTTGTAGCAATTGTCTTAGGACTCACCTTCTCATCGGCGCCATCAAGGCAGTCTTCATCACCATCGCAGATCCACTCGGCAATGAGGCACTGACCACTTGGGCAGGCAAAGGCTCCTGGCTGGCACTTTTGTGCGTCGTGGCAGTCCTTCTCGTCGGTTCCATCGCCGCAGTCGTTGTCCCCATCGCACTTGAAGCGATTCTGGATGCACCGGCCGTTTCCGCAGGTGAACTCGTCCGAGCGACAAGTCTTATCTGCACAATATCAGAGGGACGATTAGCCAGGGACTTTAAATACCTTTCTTAGCGTGCTGAGTGAGTGCATGAAGGGGGGAGTATGTAAAGGATCTAGCTACAAGACTCTGGAGCAGGATGTGTATGTATGTATGTGCTCTGCAAAACCAACACCATTACAAAAATTGCCAACAAACAAAAGAGGAGCAACAAAAATAAGCAGAGAGGAAAGGGGTGGGTGAAAGTGACAGCAACAACAAGGCAAAAAGAAAGCAAACTAAACTTTCTCTCGTTGCGAGTGCATGTTTGTGTGAGTTTCGCAAATATTTGTGCCTTATAGCGTACAATCTTTAAGCAGGGCATTACACAAGTTCCTGAAAAATGTGTGCTTGGCACTCTCAAGTGCAGCTGTGTTATAAAGCATAGGATAGTGTGATATAGATATAGATATTGCAACCGACACCAAGTACAGGGTAAAAGCGGGGTATATTCAAGACATAGCCAAACACCAACAAACAATCAGATAATGGCTTACTGCACTGGGCCTCGTCGCTTCCGTCCCGGCAGTCACTGTGCTGATCGCACATCCAGGCCAGCGGGATGCACTCGCCCGACTTGCAGGCGAACTGCTCGGGCGTACAGGTACTTCTGCCTAAAAGAGACAAAATGGATATGTTTCGGGTTAAGATCTGGAAAAATTGAGAAGACTACTAAAGCAGAATCCTTATTTGCGGCCCCCCAAATAGTCCACTAACGGCCTGGCTAATGGCCGATGCGATGGTTGCCTTAAAGGAGGCACCCGTCTTGTAATTAAGTTTATAAGCAGCTGCCAAGGGGGCGGAGCGGCAACTACTCTGCCAGTAATAAACATAGTTGTCATGCCGACACACCCATACACCCATGCTCCACCATTCGGGACTAAACAGTTGGCATTTTATCTAGGCAGTAATTAAGACATTATCAGCCAACACTCCATAAAGTTAAAACGCACACATGCGTATGCATTAAAGCAATTATCGCACACACCACCCAGCCTCTCGCTGGGTCTGTGTTTCTGTATATAGTATATACGGCTGCCTGAAAGTTTCATTGAAGTTATCCTGCCGGAGGAGCGGACATTAAACAAAGCTGACAACACTCCCACACACAGCCACACACACATACCCAGTACCCAGTCGCATAAAAACGCTTGTGTTTAACCCTTAATGCGTATTAGTATGGCAGTTCTTTCGGGTTTCCCTTTCGTGCTTACTTTCTCCGCTTTCTTTTTGTCTTTCATTGCCTATCCCCCGTCGCGACGGGTGTCTGTGTGCCTGCGAAATGGAGGTCCTTTGTTTAGACGTGTGCGTGTGGGGAGAGCACGCTTGATTCTACTTGATATCATTACGTACATGTAGCACATCCCGCCGCTTCGCTTCCGTCCGTCCTTTTGTTCCGGCCGTCTGTGTGCGTGTAAGCAATAAAATCTTACGGCCGAGCCACACATATTTGAATATGCTTTTTGGCGTTTTGTCTACCTTTTCCGCTTTTCCTCCAAGCCAACTCCTCCCCCAACTCTTCGTCCTGTAGTCCTCCGCCTGTCTATTTGTTTACCGTTTACACGTGCACGGCGCTACGGAAATTTCTGACATCGTTGCAAATAAATTAATTTATTATTATTTTTCTCTTGGCATTCGCAAATTTTCGGCGGTTGCTTAGCATGTACAACGCGTCGTATGCGTGATATGCCTTTAATAGGAATTTATTGTGACCAGCTTACAGAGTTTATTTCAGGATCGCTATTGTTGAATGTTGTCTCTTGAAAAAACGCACTAAAGGATGCTGAAAATTCCGTTTCTGGGAATCTTATTTTCAGAATTGTATTCATTTCTTATTTAAATTTATTTTCGCTTTTCACAGACCGAGCTTGAGTGTACTTTTTCGATTATTTTGCTCCACTCTTGCGTCCGATTTCATTTTCAATTATCCAATATCATTTTGTCCGTCATAATTTATGGCTTCATTAAATTTTCCATCGGTAAGTGAGGAAAACATACCCTGGGGAGATTTTTTTTTATTTTTCATTTCAGCCATTTGAAGGCAACTACTTGGCTGAATGGACGGTTCGATGTCGTGCGGCCATGGGGACATTCTTATTTGTTGCCGCCCAGCTCCGGCTTCAGTCCCAGCCAACCAGCCAGCCAGCTTCAGCTTTTGTTAGCCACGGCAGAATCAATTTGCTGTTGTGGGGTCACAGTCAACACTGATAGTCCTTTCACTCCTTCCAGGTCTGTTCCACACTCACTGGCCGTCAGAGCCAATTTTGGCATTGTGTTCAATAGCATTTTCTTGTTATCTAACGCCAAGCAGTATATACTTGCAATTTGATTTTAATTTGATTTAAAATGCTTTTTAGACCATGTAGAGAACATGTCCTAGTCGAGTGCAACGATTGCCCCTCGCCTCCTGGCTACCCCACCATTCTACCACTTGAAAGCCAATGAAGCTTAATGCTTTTGTGGGGCAGTTTGCGTTTTGTTTATTGCACAGCTTTCCCCCCGGGTCACTATTGTCCGACTTGAAGACCAGCTCTCCCCCATAATGGTAAACAAAGTTATGAAGAGTCCGAGTGGAGTGTTAAATGGAATTAAATAACGGAGCGGGGACATAACTGAAAATTGCAATCCTTCGTAATCCTTGCTAGTGGGTTGGTTCAACTTTTTCCGGCATGCCAAGTTAAATTAAGACCCACAAGGGTGACTGGGTGGGAGGAGAAATGTCAACAAGGTTTGATGACAATTTTAAAGCGTATAACCATCGTAAAAGGAGGCCCTCATCCACAAACATACACACACGGTGTCCTGGAATCGCGTTAGCCGCTCACTGAGCCATGGCTCCCGGAATATAAACCACAGGCTCAATTTGGCGCTGCGTTCCATTTTTGATTACCGTCTTTTATTTTCATCAAGTATAACATCATAAAAATCGCATCACTTTTTCAATTACTACGCTGAAATTCCTTGAAATATAAAAAAATATTTTTACGCCTCCAGCACCCACACTTCTGTGTAATACGGACGTATAGTTGGGAAAATGTGTCACAGACAATAAACCACCAACAAGTAACTGTGGCAAAAATGCCTCAAATAAAGTGAAAAGCGGAAACTACATCAAGGCGGAGCCCCAAAATAAAAGCATCCTAAAGCAGCCTAATGCATAAATACAAATTAGTTCCGCCGATGGTCACGTCGCGATATTGTCCGCAAGGAGTGACATTAATTTATGGCCTGGTCATTCCCTTCCGAGCCAAGTCGTAAAGTCCTGGCGATGCTCCATGGGCCAGATTACTTTCGTGAGGCATTTAAATTTCGATTAAGTGACTCTGCTCTTCCGGAGATGGTTTTAATGATGGGTTGGGGCGCATAGTTGTACAGTTAATATGTAAATGTTGTATGGGGGAAATAATGTTATTTCGTAATTGAAGCTTACGGGAACAATCTTTTTCGTCTGACTTATCACGACAGTCTTCGTCGCCATCGCAAATGAAGGCTAAGTGCACACACTGCTCCCCGTTTGCACACATTGTCTGCCCATGGCTGCATTGGCCGCCTAAACCCATTACCGAATTTTATTAATTTTTACCATACAGGAAATATTTATTATTGTATAACAAGTAACTGATTAAAACTTACCACAACGGGACAGAAGTTCATCGCTTCCATCGGGGCAGTCGTTCTCCCGATCGCAGACAAATCTCTGGGGAATGCACATGCCGGTTCCACATCGGAATTGGTCCGAACGGCAAGTCGATTCTGCAAAGGAAAATGCAAACGTTAGGAATCAATTTTACATAACTGCTTCGGATAATGGCTTCGATAGAATATTCCCATAAAAACTTATATATATACAGGAATGTCTGCTCAGCATGGCTTTCAATTTTTAATGCTCGAATGGTTAAGTGTGTCAAAAATTAAATGTGATTTTTATGTTCCTGTGGCTTCCGCACTAGCTTTCGCTATCCTTCCCTTCCATCGGTGGCCTTCGATATTCCCTTTGTTTTATGCTTTATTGGAAATAGTGTTTGAGGCATTTTATGGTCACTTTGGCTTTATGGCCAGAAACTTTCTTTAAAAGGCCAACAAATATTCCGGTTATTTTGCTTGTGCTGACAGACAAAATAAATTGTAATTGATGGGAAATTGATTGGTGATGGAAATGCAATTAAAAGAAACAGGGCATTATTGATAAAGTCAATCCGTATTGACAGCAAAGACTTCTGTAAGCCACTGTTTTGGAAAAGTCATTTAAAAATCATTTTTAAAAGTTTTAAACTTGTAAAGGTTGTTGTTTAGGAATTAAACTAAAATTCTAACTGAAACATTTCCATTTAAATTCAAACAATTTACTCCTTTGAAGGACATCTGCATTTCTTTCGACACAACTTTAAGGGGCGTTGTGGCCTCTCCGGCGGGAGAGGTTTCCCACCAGACCGGGGGTCGTTTGCCATAAACTTAAGCGCAACTTTTGTGGCAGTTCGCCTCGTACCCCTGGCACCCGAAACTCCGGGGCCAGCTGTAACCCCTGGATAGCGCCAAAGTCGTGGCCGCATCCAAAGCCAATCCCACGGGATTCAGACTCCCAGCCGCCGCAGTGCGAAAAATGCGCATCACGTTCTGCGTTCTGCGTTTTGGGACCAGGGGAAGCCCGCCAAATGGAAGCCTGAATGGCGAAAACGTTCCAGAACGTATTTACCTAGACAGTGGCATTTAGCGCCCAAAAAGCACATTAAAATGGGCTGAATCGGGGGATTAGTCGGCTGCAAGTTATCCTCTTTGGTTTGCTTTATGTTTTGTGTTTAATGAGCAGCCAAATCCGCGGAAGTCTAGCAAGAAAAATTAAAAAAACTAAAAAAAAACTAGCAAGCTTTAATACACAAATAATTATTGACTTTAAACGAAATATTAGAAGCATAAATTAATTTTCTTTAGAAAAAGTCTTTAGAATTCTTATTTAAACCTTAAACCAAAAATGAAAAACATCAATTAATTTTCTTTTGGAGCCTAACATAATAATGAGTTAGTGAGAATTAGGGTCACCTGCCATATTTCAATATTCAATATTTTTAAGATTTTCATAAATGATTCGAAAGATTGAAAGATATTTATATGAAACTCTGTTTAAAAATGAAACTCATGGTCCAGATAAGTGAATGATTGTTATCATTCTAATTAAAATAATATATAATCATTATAATTATTCTTAATTTTTATTTTTCCGCCTAATTAATTCTGATTAATTCTTATTTGAAATTTTTCGCTCATGTAATAATCATTATTTTAAAATAAATTATTTTTAAAATACAAATCATAACAATATTCATCATATACATATGTTACGGTCTTACTCATGGGAGTAAGACCATTCCATATATTGGAACTTCTCTCAACATATATGATTTAATAAATGTCGCTTATCGCATGAATATGTTATATGTGTCTTTTTGAAAATACTCCGTTTTTGTTCTTGTGCCTAAGAGCATTTTTCGCAGCTGCTTGCCGCTTGCCACTTGCCACACAGACGCAAACTTCATTATTTACAGTCTGCCGCGTCGCGACAACATGGAACTGAAGGTGTGTATTCTGCGGCAGGGTGAGTGGGCGGCGGGAGACAGACTCTTAATTCCTGTTAGCCCAGGTGGGCGGTACATGGGGATGCCCCGTGCAGATTATGCAATTCATTTAAAGTGCTTTAGCTGCCGAGGGGTGAAAATCTCTCTCGACGCCTCGGTACACCTTTTTCCCGGTCCGTAATGAATGGCACACCTGGTGCCCTGGAGGCCATGCGGCGAGAATCTGCATATATTGTACATTTATGAAACTTTCAGTGCAGTACCTTGATTTGAGAGCTATCACACAAATTGATGCGACTATTTCCAAACTGGCGGCAACAAAAGTGACAAAGTCAGTGGGCTTAAGCCAAAGCAAATACATGGAAAACTTTCCGTACAGACCCACTGAACTAACCTCAACAAAGTTGGCTAACAATGCATCTCGGCCCCGCCGCCCGGCCTGGCCCGGAAAACTCCCCGAGCTCATTTACAGGCCGAAAGCTTAGTGATAGAAAAAGTTGCCATGTACTTGGGAAGTGTCCAAGGGGAAAAGAGAAAAAGTTTTGCGGTCATTCATCGATTTGGCGCATTAAAACTTTTCTGATATTTGCCGTTTTCCAATCTTCACTTTTCCTACTTTGAAATATTTGATCCTGTGAAGAATTAATGCGCAATTAAGAAAGAAACGAGGACATATGTTTATAAATAAAACGAAACTATCTAAAAAATACTATTAAACGACAATGTAGTACTAATAATATCCCCCTTTAAAATTGTATAGCTATGGAAGTAAAAAACAAGACAAGATGAAATATCGGTTTTCAGTTTTTTTTGTTTTTTGTTCGAGGGGTTCGAGCGAAAGATATCCTAATGAAGTTTGTCTGTCTGGCAGAGCATAAATTGAATTGTCCGATTCATTTAAACGGCGGAAAGAAGCAAAACATAAAAAATGGAGCAAGGAGAATGCGAAAGTGAATTTCACTCTACGGTCTGGTCATGGCCAGACCCCACTCCACCTGACCCTCGTCGGGACCCTCATTCCATGCTGTCTCGTCTCAATAAATAAATGAAAAATTTGTGCCGCAGCTAAGGGGATTTTCCTTTTTCAGTGTTTACAATTGTTTTTCTTTTCAGCTCCTTCCCTTTTTTTATTTTTATTTATTTTTCTTTTTTTTGTGATGTTTAGAGAAGTATCTGCTTCCGCACACAGCGGGTTTTATCATAAAAGGCTCGCCGCTTGTTGTTTATGGCACCTTTTTCCACTTTATTGAAGTTGTACTCTGCCTCAAGTATTTCAATAAAAAAAAAGAGCAAGGAAATGGGGCGACCAAGGGTTTTTGTTATGTCCGGGCTCAGAGGACAATGCCATGCATCATAAATCATTCGGAAAGGCGGCCAGAGCAGAGATTGGGAGTCACTCTAATGAGGCAAAGTCTCATGGAACTTGTTTCCATATGGCAACTGTTGCTGATTGAAGCAATGCAACAAATGGCCGCGAAAGTCGATTTAAATTACACTTCAAGTGCTTGACAATTTAAATGTAACTAAACTTGCTTTGGGGAGGCAAACAAAATGATTCCATGGATGGGGGCTAGGTCTGTGAAATATTTGAAAAGTAATTCCCATTTCTGTGAATTCCGGGCGAACTAAGGATCGAGCAATTTCGATGGATTGCCGCGCTTAAAAATGTGCGGCATACATAATTTATGGCTTTCGAGGAAGGACAAGGACAAGGATCAGGAATGGCAACGGTAGCTGGTAACGGTAGGACAAGGATGTGTGACTGGAGCTATCTAAGGTCTGCAGCCAGAGCGCAAAATCCAGGAAATACTTGTGTACGCTATATATAGTATAGGCTGGTAAGCCTCCTTGTGAGATGGTTTTCTTTTTTAGAGTTTTCACATTCTTCGTGAGGGGGTGGCTGGCTTATCAGCTGTCTGATTTTTCCAAATGCGTTGCATGAATATTTATGCGCTCGATATCGAGCGCCAACACACATATGACCATAATATATTTGGCAGGGAGTGTATGTGCATATTTCATGCGTTAGCGTCTGGGCTATGAGCTGAAAAAGCTGCTTAAAACTCTGACAACGTCCCAGTGTCCTTTGTCTCCTGTCGCTTACGCGGCGAATGGGAAACTTAAAGCCCTATGCGTAACCCGATGGCTACACACATTTATTTACTCGTACAGTATACGAGTATCCTTGCCGCCTCGGATCGGATCTGTTGTTAATGGCCCTACTCAGTTTAGTTGCCTATAAGTTATTTATTTATTTACTGACTTCTTCGCATCGACCCGCCGATATACATTCATTTTTGTCATCTCAGTAGCTTTTGTTAGAATGGCCATTTCCGCTGTATGGAATGCGACCAGGCACGGAAGATAAAATCCTCATGGCGAATATGTAAGACTACAATAACAATAAATTGAACTTCACTTGAAGCGGGTAAAGTATCGCGCTTTGTTATCTTTTCATTGCGAAGGCTATTTGAGGCATATTTGAGATTCGGAAGTAATGGCTACAAGACTACATAATATTTGAATAAAAAACTGGGCAATTTCCAGTGGCCATTATGAGTCATTATGAACGGAAATGTGGTCAGAATTTATTTAGAAGTACTGTCTTTTGATAAACCCAAAGGAGGTTGTTTCTATTCCATATTTTGAATAAAAAAACTTTCCTTATCCAGCCATTATCAACTAAAATTTTCTTAGAACTTCGTAAAAAAAAAGAATAACTGGATTATCCCTTTAAGCGGAAACTGAAATTCGCTGGAAATTCCACAATGATCCGGTTTTAGTCGATTCAAACTAAACTTTCTTCACAAATAACTACATCTAAGAGTCTTACTTAGCACATTTTATTATTAATCTGATTTGTGGAATTATCTTTCCACAACCAAATCCAATTTGGCCCCATCCTTACCATAGATGCTGTGAGCCTGTCGCGGCAGTAATCCTGCAAGGAAAAGCAGGAAGGAGCATCCCAGGAAGCTCGGTATTGGTCCCATGTCAGCGCTCCGTGGGCGTATGCTCTATGCCAAAGTGATAATGTTCTAGCCTAAGTGCTCGACTGAATTATTAAAATAAATTGCTCTTTATCCAGGTTTGTTGTCGCGTGAATGTTTGCGCTGGGCTCTCTGTTGCGAATATGTAATCATAATTATTTTAAATGGCAGTCAAGTGGTTGGCCAGCAAAATGGCGGCAAGAAGTATTAGGCTCCCGCTCAAAAGTAGGCAACAGTTTTGCGTCATGGGCCAAAAAATAAAGGATGTTCTTTAAAAAATTGCATTTGCAAATTGAAGCTGGTGGAAAACTGTTTAAAGAATTGGATTTTAACGCAAGCCATTAGATTTATTTCATTTTAAAATGTATTTGGCTTGAAGATACATTTCCTATTTCCATAAATCCATCGGATCGGAACAACTTAAATGGATGAATGTTTTCATAGGCATGAATAGTGAATTATGTTTAATTTATTGCCTTCATTGTACGAACTTTATAATGAAATATTTCTTTGTTTTAACATTTTCACGTTTAATGCTTTAATTAAGCCATTTTTTCGTGTCGGCCTGTCAGCTTTATATTCATAATTATTTATGCGCTTGCTTTTTCTGAACTTCGCATAATCCTCTCATTGGAAATTATTTTTCAACGTCCTTGCGGGCGGGAATGGGTTGAAGTTAAGCCGTGTTGAGTGTTTACATTTAATTGCAATTTTGCACTTTGCCGACAGGAATTATGACGCTGACAAACTTTTACACGCTTGGAGAATTCGTAATGAAAATGAATAAGTACTATATAATAGGAATAATCAACAATCATTGCGGATTAAGTATTTGGCACTCTTGTGGGACAAGTGTGAATATTATTTTTGATTTGTTTGGGAATTGCTGGGCGCAACTGAAGCGTTCCTCAAGTGGCTTTGACTTGCATTCGGTGTCAAGTTCATGTAATCCAATCCAAAACAAAAGCCAAGCGTTTTGCAAATCACATCCAAATTATGCCATCCCGTTAAGAGCGTCTCTAAGAGAACTCTCAGAAGAGTGAAAAAATTGGAATGTTACAAAAAGTGGCGCGCAGAAGCGGGCCAAAAAAAGAAAATTAAACGGCAAGAGGAAAACAGACAGAGAACACGGCGGAAAAGCTTCCGTTTCAAAGGAAAAGCTGCTGTTGCCTTAGGAAGCTGATACCACTTGCGAATTGCCGCCAAGGAGACGCCAGAAAACTGTTTTGAGTTTATTTGCCAAAAACTTGGCCTTGCCATTGATTTTTGCTGGCTAACAACAGCTGTCGGATTAGCTCAATAATTTTTTGCACCTTTTCCAATAAATTTTAATAACCTTTCTTGAATTTATTTAAAAATATTGTATTTTTTTAATTTAATTTCTCACTGGATGTTCACTTTAAAAACGTTATTTTTTGCCGTCACGAAATCGTCGAAATTCAATGAATCCTTGAATGTTAATGCGCGCACGTCCTTTGCTTTGCAGAGTTCGGCATAAACTGAGTGCGACGGATTTTTGCCTCGTTTCATCTGCCAAGATGTGCTGGGATCCACTACAGCACTGGAGCTGCCCCCAAACCGAAGCTCGCCTGATAAGGATTCCACTCTGAGCGCACTCTCAATGCGGTTCTGCACTGCGAGTGAGTTTTAGTTTCCGAGTGAGTTTTGGTAGTCTGCCCCAATCCGTTCTATTGAGAGTCGCAATTAGATTGTGATTTGTCAGAACAAGCTATACACCCGAAACCTTGATGACCCCAGACTATTTAAAACGTAGCTAATCTTAAGTGTTATAAGTGGCGTCTAGTTAATCGGAGCTGCGACTTATTCCCCCACTGTTGAGGTTCTCTGAAAAATCCCGCATACATTAATCGTTTGAATTCTAGCTGAATCTGCTTCATTTTTTTGTGGTTGTGGTTGTTTTTTTTCTCTATCAGTTATGGGTCAAGTTTGAAGCGGATTTCCTCAGTGGGTGAAACGCAATTATTATTATATATCTGGGTAGTAATATTAAGTTACCTTCACCTAGTATTATCATTGTTTACCAGGATATGCGTAGTATTCTAAGTAAGATCGTAATTTATTATTTTAATTTCAAGCCAAAACTTGTGATAGGTTAGTTCTTATGCTTGATAATGAGTAATCGTTCAACTTGTAGTCTATTTAATTATATTAATATAGAGTTTCCCCAAGCAGTGGTCAAGAATTTCTCTTTTTTCCCTCATTTCATTGAATAAAGATAATATTATTTGAGATAAAATAGACTTTTAGTCGTAAGTTTCTTGAGCGCTTTAATTCAATGAGTTTAAGCTTCGCCAAACATGTTTTCCAAAATAAACTCCATTCTTCATTCACTAATGTATAGTACTTGTGAGAGCCAAGTTAGCATGATGCAATGGATTAGTTAGATTGCACTTGACTTGCAATGCCCCCAAATAAGCCTCAACTTGACTCGACTCGAACTGGGTTGTTGTTAAATTACCAGGCCAGAGCCGACTTAAGACCTTCTATCCGAGCATACATATATAATTGGGGGTTAGCTGAGTTCTGTACTCTCTGTGCTTTAGAGAGCAACCATGCCTAATATTTACGACTATCAGTGTTTAAAGCGCAGCTGCCTGAAAGTAGGCAATGTAACGTTTTGAAAAAGCCGGTTCACACGAAACCAACGAACCAAATAGCAGACTGGTCTGCTAACCAAACTCAAATTAAATGCAGGGGCTAATAAAAAACGCACACTCTCACACTGGCCGAGTGTTAAAATTAAATGAAAATAAATTCAGCTACAGAATTGAAAGTCAGCAGGATCGGCGGGTAGTGGGGCCCGAGGATTTCGGGTCCTGCCTACATGACACTAAATAAACAGCCAGTTGTTACTTACTCAACAACGAAGCCAAACAAATAGCAAAAACACCAAAACCAATACGAAAGCAAACAGCACACGCAGAGAGCGACGGCCGAGCAAAACGAAGTAAATGGTTAGTTCTGTGACATTTCTAAATTGAAAAACTACAAATGACTGACAAAAGATTAGGGCGAGGGCGCACGTAGTTCGCAGGCAACAGCTGGGCCCTGGCATTCGCCGTAAATCCCAATCCTGAGCCCAATTCCTGGCAAAGCGCTCGACTTTGTTCGAGGAGTGGATTCCCAGCTCCTGGCCAGGACCACATATAAAAAATATAGAAAAAATGGGGAAGAACAGCAGCAAGGAGGAGAAAAATTGGCGTTAGCACAATTCTCCTTTAAAAGGCTTCCGCAAATATACAGAAAAAAGCCAACAAACCTGGAAACACATTTTGTGGCTGTTACTGTTGATTTCTTTCAAGTGTGTGAGGCTTTGAGCAGCCGTTCGAGTATATTTGAATAAGACAACAGTTGAAGTGAAGGCCCAATCAAGGCCGGAAGGATAAAAATGGTAAGAAATGGAAAGTTGAGAGAAAAGCCATGAAAGGCAAGGCCAGGGCTCTGGATTCCGAATTTAGGTTTATTTATTGACTCGAAAATATAAGAAATATGTAGAGTTTAACAAGAAATACCAGATACAATTGAAACGACTATCTAAAATAACTCTTTTTAATTAAATTATTTTATTAAACTTACAGGTTTTATAGATAAACTGAAGTAAAGAATGTTTTAAACTCTTTTCCCCTGTTGACTCACCTTTGAACTTGCACTCCTCCAGCCGCTCGTCACTATGATCCGGGCAATCGGAGTCGCCGTCGCACAGAAACCGTATGGGAATACACACGCCAGGAGAGCACTGAAACTGCTTTTCATCGCACTCCGTCGACAGGCTGTGAGCTGCAAAATCAAATGCATATTAATTAATTAAGTTGGAATCCTCGGGTTAGCCGCAGACTATAATTAAACATGAACAGGAGACGACCGGACGGCCGGCCCCCTGGGATCGGAGGGGCCGCCTAATAAAATTCATAACTAAAATTTAAGTTGAAAACTTTGGCTCGTTAAGCACACACTGAGAAAGTGAGACGTAGTGGTGTGGAGGGGTGGTGAAGGCGTCTGTTGACAAGCCTCAAAACCCTTTTTAATGAAAGCCGAGTCTTGACAATAAACAAAAACTTGTAAATAATGAAATCCAGCAGAGGGAAGGGCCTTACACATGTACGTATTAGAGCTCAGTGGTGTGTGTCTGTGGGTGGGTTGTTGTTGTGGTGGACCGCAAAAGGACCCAAATGAAAGGATGAAAGTTTTGGGGAAATTAATAAGCAAAGTATTTGATGGCAGCCAGTCAGGGGGTAGGTTCCTGGATGGCTTCATCAATCGTTTTACGGCCAACTTGACATTTAACACCACTGCTTTAATCTGTCTTTCATTTTCTTTGGCTCTCGATTAGCATATGTATGTACGTTGTATGTGTTCTATGGTATGCTAAAGCAAACTGATTCTGGTTAATGTGGCGCGATTATGCTTAGAGGGTCTTGATACATGTGTGTGTTTGTGTGTGAGAGTGGAGTCTATCCGTGCGTCATTTACCGTTTAATTGTGCGCATTTAACACAAATTGACAATTGCTTAGGCACCGTCAGTGTCACGCACGAGCTCGCCTACAAAGCCAAAGCGCACGCACACTGACGAGCTCACCCTAGAGTGGACTTTTCTACATGATCTATTTCCTATATAATTTTTACAGAAAAGAGTTTTTATCGTATTTTCAGACTCTATCAGACAACTAACCCCTATAGACTTTTTATTATTCTAGAAAATATTTACAGTCCATAAATTATATGACATTGAAAAAATCCAACTATTACCAGCTACTGCTAATAATCTTGCCACTTTTTTAAGATTATGCATTATCAAATTACAGGACTTTAACACTCTCTACAATACTTTTTAATCAATTTGTGTATACATTTAGTTTGTAGGCATTAATTAGCTCATGATTATATCACAGCCGTCTTTTTACGACTAAGCTCAATAATTTATTCATGGCCTACGTGTCGTATGATTGATTTTACATTTTGTGCAAAAATTAAGACCTTAAACTTGCATTTACGCGATTAGGTTTCATTTTAGGTCCACCCTCCAGCTTGGTATTTAATTACAAAATCAGACTTGTCATGCACTGCCCTCAACACGCACACAGCCATCCAGCTCAAAATACACACGTGTTCCAGCCCAAGAACCTCGACACAGACACGCATTTGATGGGTTCTTCATTATGGAGGCGGAAAATTCGTTGCATGCAAGGCGATGGAGAATTTCCCGGCTAGTCGTTTGAAATTTTTCGTAGATTGTAATTCTGCTTCTTTGCCGCTTTTGCACTTTACACTTTGTTTATGCATGCATATGTATTTATTTTCCGAAAAATACACACACATATTCGTGAGTCCTTTGCTACTTTTCATTCCAGAGCTGGATGGAAATTTTTTATTAGGCCCCGTAAATTATTAAAAATGTGCACAGGTATTTTGAATTTATGAAAAGAGTTTTGTTCGCTTCTGGCATACAAACGTTCGTTGGCTAAATAGGTGCTCGGGTATGCACTTGTTTGGAGCTCAAATATTGCAATTGCTTTTGTCAGACAGATCTGTATGTAAATGGGTAATGCAATTTGCATTTTAAGTGAGTCGTTTAGTCGCTTAATTGAAATAAATATTAAAAGAAAGTGACCCATCCGATCCATTTGGGAATGTTTAGATTAGTCGAGATATGTATGTAGCAAGCCATCTGAAAGGAAATTTATTCATATGCGTTTCATTTGCATTTCAAAATATGAATTCCAAAGTCGGCAATCGGTTAATGGAAGTGCACAAATTATTATCGTTAGAATGTTGGCTCATAGGGCTCATGGATCATGGGTTAAACAAATGCATTTAACGTAAAACTATAACTAAAGCCCCACGTTTTAGTCTTAAATATTTTTTAGTGATTTCCTCAATACTTCATTGACTTTAAGCAGCTCTGACGCAAGTGAAACAAAGTTTCAACGAAAAGTTATTCATTTTTAAGATGAAATAATACCTGGCTCGAACTTAAATGGAAATGTAGATGAACTTCCAGATAATTACTTGAAGGGTTGCAAAGGAAAAGCAATGTTTATTTCCAACAAACTTGGTTTCGATTACTTCCTTTTACCAGAATATCTAATGTAACCAGTTTTTCTTTGAAATTCAATTTATTGTTCAGTTATTCGCTTATCGTGCTTATCACTTTTCTCTCAGGCACTTCCTCCCATTGCCTCAATCTAGCTATTTAATACAAATTAAATCAGTAGGGCAATAATTTGCTGGGCGGACCGCACAAACCGCAGCAGCACAAACCGGCCGGCCTCCAATTTGATTGACAGAATCACAAAAATGTCTGACCAGAACAGAAGCAGCAGCGTCGGCCAATTAAATGCTTAATGCGAAGTTCATTGAACAGTTTTATTTTACTTTATTTCTCGGTCTCGCTCAGAAATCAATCACAGCATCCTGGCCTATGGGAAGAACTCGCCAGCAGAGGCCCCTTTGGCCGCTCAAGAGTGTTTCACATGAAAATTTCGCACCATTAATTCAATGACAGCCACGAAGGCACGGGAAAAGGAGGCTTGGCCGGGGCCTGGGGGCAGGGCGGTTGGCCAAGAGGGCGAAATAATAAACAGAAATCAGCGCAAAAGTCAATCAGAGTTCAAATCAATATAAATGCTTTATTAATAGCTCGAAAGGTTGTCGATGTTGTTCCTTGCCCTCTGATTTGATTACGCGTGCAATCCTATTAATAGTAGTGATTAATCATTGATTGGCTTATGGTCAACTACACGCCAATAACACTAGACCACTACGTTAGTTAACCAAAACATTTCCAGTTAATGTCGATAAAAAACATTCTCGAACTTTGCACTTATCAGAAGGTGTTGATATTGCCATTTTGATAAGTGTGAGGTTTATGTGTAGTTCATAAAAAAACAAGGTAAGGACGGCTTTGTAAGGTTTCTAGACGATATAATACCCGGTACTCTTCTTGATCACTGAAGTCTAAATAAGTATACCATAGCAAAATAGCTCTAACTTTTAAAGTCTCTAAGTTTAAAGCTCATTCCCCCTTATATCTATTTAATTTCTAAAACAAAACTCTTTGCAACAAATTCCTTGAAGACCTTGTCGGCGTAAATAATAAAATAATCTATTTCTGCCAAGTTAAAAAAAAGCAACCCATGAAAACAAACTATTATCGGTGATAAGGACACTGCGATTTATCAGTGATACGTAATGTTTGCTTACATTTCGAAATAGCTTTGCGGGTTTCTTAGCCAGAATAGGTTCCGACTTAGTCATAAATTGCTTTCAGAAAATCGGGAGATTATTCATATTTCTTATCTGATAAGAAACTAATATAACGTAGTACTTACTACTGGTAAGTGCGTGGCCAGAATTAGCATGAATAGCAAAAACGGATTTCGGCTTGGTCATAAATCGATATTGCGCCCAAGCGGAAGGTAAATAAATTTTTCTTATCGAAGTGGCACTCTAAAAAAATCTTTTCAACAAGGCATAATACGAAATCATATTCGGTTCAGTTGTACTAATATTTTTTCAAGGGGCTTTATCTGGTGTCATGCCACCCAATTTTTATCTAATAATTATAATATTTTTGTGCGATTTTTCCGTTGCTTGGGAGATAACATTTTGTTGATAAAAGGGGTGCTTTTGCAATTAAGATAAAGAAATATCAACAAATTATTGTATAATAATGTGAACACTGCTTTCGGGACACGGATTCCCACAGTTGGGACACGTTGGATATGTTGACGTTAAAACTTCACTTTACGAGAAACTCTTTTGGGGCTAACCATTAAGAGAATCTTGTCAGTGCTCTTAAACTATTTAAAGAGATGAGATCTTGTTGTGTTTGCCGCTTAATGGGAAAAAAGGTGGCCTGATCGCTAACGTCATACTTTAAGCAACAAACGGCTAAAAAACAATAACAATTACTCATATGTACAAACAACTGTTTGGCAATGCTGTATGGGCGGCATTAATCGAATTAAAAGTGACTCAGTGCTAATAATGAATGATGAGCCCTGTGTCTTAAAAAATGTTCGTCAACGTCATTAGTTGTTTATTGCGATCTAGATCCCTTGGGATTTACCCATGAATTCATTCCAATTCTAGCCGATTTGATAGTTTCCTTTGACACCATCACATCACGCCACCTTCTCGCGCCAACACTGCGTATGCGTAATATTTCAATTGCAAGCCAAAATAGAAAAACCAATTAAAAAAGAGAAATTCTCGGCGCTGTGTGGGAACTGGGAATGGACCGCACATATGTACAAAGTCGAAGGTTAATGGGTTTTGACCATCAAGCTTGTTGGCAGTACCTATTAGACGTGCATTGAGATACAGTTAACAGTATGCGGTTAACAGCTTCCATTTGATTGTGTTTTGCATGTGTCGCTTATGAAATTTGTCACTCGAGCACGAACAATTGCAGTGGTTTGTCAGTATCGCACTTGGTAGGCTTCCTTTTAGACGAAAACCAGTTTTCGGATGACAACAAAAACATGCACATATTTTCGTGTCGTCCCATAATTATACGAAAAGGCAAATGCTTTTGTAATTAAGGCAGCCGGCTAAACTGCAACAGTCGAGATGGCTTCCAGAGACCAACTCTGAGGCAGGGACAAATGGAACCAGAGCACGTGCAAATTCCAGGCATAATTAGCCAAGTTAATTATAAAAGTCCGAGCCAAGCTGGGAGCCGAGTTGCTGGAGCTCCAGGCTCTGTCTCCGTTTTAACAGCCAATGAGCAAACTTGTTTCAATTCGATTTTGAAATAAATCAACACACCAGATACGAGCGTTTAAGGTCCTACTTCCGTCTCTGGGAACGATTGCCTGTCGATGTCGGAGACAGTCATTAAAGCTGTCAAGGACGTGCCCAGAACTGGCTGGCTGGCTGGATGGAGAGTGTAAATTTTAACTGCCTCAGATTTTCATTTTACAACAAGCTCTAAACTTAGTTCGGTGGAAATAATTTTGTCACTGTCTGTCATTTTAAATTGCTTTGACCTATATCCTGGGCTGAAGCCCATCTAACTATTTATTTAAAGACGTGGCTCCACCAATTTCCCTTCCATTAGCCACATTAAAGGCGGCAAAACTGTCAAATATACACCGAAAATGCATTTGTGTGTATTTTAATGGACTGTTTTGATGGAAATAGATAATGCGCTAATGATGCAACGGCTTATACCCAAACATATATACACATACGCGTATGGTAGTTGAGCGTCAGCTATAACTTTAAACTGTGGCTACAATCATGACCCAGCAGTATTCATTTGGCCAAAATCTTTGACATTAAATGTCTGATTTTTTGCCAGCTGAAGGTTTCATTAAGACTTTTGAATGAGGCTTAAGGTCTATCGATTTGTAGTTCCCCTACTTTATTTAAATTTTTTTACCAAAAGGTTGGCAGGTTTTTAATCATTCATCTTCATTAGTAAGGGTTTTTAGATAGCCTTAGAAACAATATATCTTGAGTATTCTTAAGATTTCATCTTTATGCGACACGTGCTGGAGTTGGTTTTCAAGCTCCATCTGACCAATGTGCACTCCAACTCCAAGAATCAGACACTTGTTGCTCTTTTTGTTCTCTTTCTTCTGCCTTCTCTCTTCTCATGACTTCTCTGCACTGCTGAAGACTCCAAGTGGCGCTCCACTCGATTCATGATGAAGCCGGCCGGTACAAAAAATAAGCATAAAACCGAATAATTACTAAAGGGGAAACAAACCAGCATACACAATAAAATAAGATAGTAACATGATTTAAAAAAAAACTCAATTTTTTTACCAAAGTTTTTTTCAAATCTATATTTTTGTTTAATATAAATTATATGTTTTTTTCATACCTAGTTAAAATTGTATAATAGATTTTTTCAGGTGTACTGTAGAGAAAAGTAAAAGGCCCGCTTGCGAGGGGAAACTGAAAGAGGAATGGTAAGGAGTTGGGCCTTGGGGCGGGGTGAGGGCTTAGCTGACTAAAAATCGTATGACGCTGGTATTCCGAGTTGGAAATGGAACTGGAGGAGTTTACTGGCATCGCCAGACGCTCTGGCTTTCGGCTTCCAACAATATTCACATAAATAAAACTTGAGCCCCGTCAGCTCGGAGTCAGTCGGTGCCTTAGTTAAAATCGGAGTCGGGTTTAGTAGAGCTTGGGGCTGGAGTTGGTGGCATGATCGCTAGAAATGCGAGACTAAAATAAACATTGTTGCAACCAAATACTTAGGAAAGATGTACATATATTCGTTCATTTATTCCAAACTCACATTAAAAAATTAATGCTTAGGTTTATAGACCAAGCGTTTTATAGATTTCTTTTTTTAGTTTGGCAGTATACTAATTTTGATGGACTTTTTATTAAACCTACAAAGTATGTATATGGGAACTTGAAACCTTAATTGAATAGAACTTTTATATAAAAGAATCTCGTACTTAATTAGAGACTTACATATATCCAGTGATGTTCCTACTTTTCCCGATACATTCAAGAACTTGAAGGGATTTCCATTTAATACAGAATTTAGCGAGTTTCCAAAGTTTCCCATTCCGATGCCCACTCCTGATCCGATTCCAAATCCGGGATTTAAACTGTTTGCAGCCGCCGGGGCCAGGTGCTTGAGTCTATCCAGCGGAGGGCCCAGAGTGGTGGCTTTCAGCCTTTCCAGCAGTGCAGATCCGCTTAGGTTCTGCATAATTTCGCTGGCACTGGGCGTGGCGGCGGTCACCTGGGCGGCGTTCACCGCCGCTGCATTGCAGAACTTGCTGATGCTCAGGATGCAGGTAATGAAGAGCAGGTGGAACGAGGAGGTGAAGCTAAAGCTGATTAGCTGCTGCACTTTGCTCTGATAATTTGTACTAGAGCTGAAGAAAAACCCATTTGTTTTTGGCGGCGGTTCTATAGTATCGCACTCCTCATCGGATTCTATATGCTCCTCCGAGGCTTGAAAGCGTTCCGTAAACACGGGCAGGCACGCTGTTGCCATTTTAACACTAACTCTGGACACTGAAAAATTATGGTAAGATTTTAAATCACTTTGAGTTCAGTGGGTCAAACACACTTTTCACTCTAATTCATTTTAGCCATAGTATATCTATTTGTATCTGGCCATATTATTCAATAATAAGACCGAGGAAATACACGCAACGTTTGCCAAAAAATTTCACGAATTTTTCGAAAAAAAAGAGAGATGCGGACGGAACAGAATAAGTGGGGTTCGGCAATGTATCGAAAGAGAGTGCCAGGCAAACGCACGATAAAAATGGTGAAAAAGCCACGACTAAAACAAGAAACATCATACGATGTTGCAAATACATGGCAGCGGCATGAAGCAAAAGCATGACGCCTCAAGCAGCAAAGCACACAGAAAAGTGCAAACTAAGGGCGACGACTTTGGTCAAGCGAGGGTTAGTTTTGTTTCTGAATGTTTTCCCCTTGAAGCTGCCGGTTTTAGCTAAGTTTGGGCCAAGTCATGCCGCGTGGGGGCTTTTTCGTAAAATGAATCAGTTACGGTGGTGTACTGTCTTCCAGCTTATCAGCTATGTAAAATGCGATAAGCCAGGTGAGCTTCTGCCCATTAAGCGTGGTAAAAGTCATGCGAGGCACACTCGCTTTCTGACACAATTTTCGAACACAATTGTTTTTTTTTTGGGGTTTTATGTATTTTTTGGCAAAACACATGCGCTACGGAAATTTATGCTGCCGTTTCACATGATGTATTGACGTAACGGATGGTAGGGGCTAAAATAGATGCCTACATTTCTTTCAATTAACACTTTTGGCCTGAAAATGATCGGTATAGGCGGCTGATGCGATGAGCTGGCTTTGAAACTTGGGCTTGAATTTAGTATTTGCTTTGAACTTTTGCTTTCCGAAACTTATTCGCGAGCGAAGAAGAGCGGTTAACGGTAGAATATCGTCCGCGGTATAGCGTGCAAATGGGCGACCCGACGATAAGCGACTGGCCGGCCAATCGGGCTAGCAGTTCACCATTGCCCGAACTCGGGCTCCCATTCGGCAGTACTCGGGGGCCGACGAACCGAAGATCGCCACGCGTCAAGCCCAACTTACCGAACGATCTCACCTGTGCACCGTGGGTTATATGAAGCTTTTTAATCATAAAACTAGAGATTTTAGTACTCTAGTAGTGATATTAAAAAAAACAACTTAAACAAGAGTGTAATTTAAAAATACCATTTATTAGCGTCACTTGAAGAATGTGATTCTAGAAATAATTTTTGAACAATAATTTATTTCACTGAAACTTTAGTGACTAAAGAGATGAGAAATTCCCCATCGTTCTATAAGTAAGGGGGGGATCTGCGAGCACATGTGGGTTTGACAGATGCCGACGTCATCAGTGGGGCCTGTCTACAGAGAGCTGAAGAGAGAGAGAGAGCCCCCAGAAAAGAGATAGGGGTCTTCGGAGAATGCTCCCATGTGACATTGAAATAGATGTTGCGAGAGCCGGCAGGTGTTTCTTCAGATAGCCTCTCTTAGATGGCCTCTCTTAGATCCACCGGTGTAACAATTTAGCTTTGGAGGAGTGTCATACCGATTTTGATAGACAATTTTAAAAATTATAGTTCTGAATTGTTGGCATAGGTCGAAAGGCCACGGCAACCACTTAAATACCTTAGTGGGGGTAATTTGCCTAAGCAATTTTTACTTAACATTGAGACCTTGAGAAATAGAGGCCTAGACCAATTAAATCATTCTACGAGTTGTTCTGAAATATTTGGAATGTGCTGGACCAGTGACTAAATCTATTATCTTAAATTTTACAATATGACTAACACTTCTTAAAGAAGGGCTTTCGCATATGATAAAATATTATTCAGTATGAGTACGCTCTTAAAATATTACTTTCTTTCTTTTGCTGTCTAAAAAGGCATATATCAAAATTGAATAATAAGTAGAGTTTTAAAATTAAAAAAAAACACTGCTTTTTCATACCTATTCTGAGCCACCCTAACCGTTTCTTTTCAATTATTTAGGAACCTTGTTCTATCCCATTCTTGTAGAATTAAGCGTAGAAGTTCAAGGAGAAATCGAAGTAAATGTATTCACATATATTCCAGCTTGTACCTAAAATGGCATTATTTGCAAAATAAATTCAACAAGTATCCTATTTAATGGTAATAGACTTTTAAATTATTTAGGTGTTTCTTTTTGGTTTTTTATTGATTGTGGGAGTACATGGGACTTCACAAACAAGATTGTTGAAAATAACTCCAAGTTTCACAGGTGGAGGTGGTGAAAGTGATGATCTTTTAAGGAGTATTAAGTACTTACCTTTTTATTTTATATGTTCCAAATAATAGAAACACGTCAAGTATGCTACACATAAGTATATCTGAGTTTATTATTAATATTTTAATGGGGAAACATATACATATGTATGTACACTTAACAAATATATTTAACAAAAGGCTAATACGTATGTATGTAGTAATATAATAAAACGATTCTGTTTTGCAAAAAACAGAAATATACTCGTAATTTCTCAACTTTCTCTAGTAGAAGACCACAATCGTTACGATCTTTTTTGTCATAATACGTACAGTTATTTTAATTAGCTTCGTTTAAAAATAATGCACACTTACAGCTATATACAGTTTGGAACTATTTAATTTATAATTAGCAATTATATTTTTTTCTTAAACATTCTGTCTGCTTTAAGTTTTTCTTTACTTTTTCTCTATTTTGTGATAGAACTCTGTGACATAGTATTTTGTACAGCATCCTTTGAGGATGCGCCCGCAAGTCATCCGCCTTCTTCCTTGCCGTGACTTAAAATTTTAAAATAATTAATTTACACAATACACAGAGTTGCTCAGTCTTCGGGCGTGTGCTTTTTTTCTGCCAGGCGGGTTCCGTGCCAGCTTTGGTCTTAACTTTTCCAGCGACCAAGCGAAAGAATCAACCAATTCACATCTCACGCGATTCCAAAGGAATCAATCTAATATGAGGATATGCCTATTACGGGTGAGTACTGGAAATGCAAGAAATGGTAAAGGACGAATCTTAAATTACACAAAATTCAATTACCTCCTCATCCATGACACTGGTGTGGTCATAGATCCGTGCCGGCAGATTCTTCCGCAGACTGAAATGATCCTCTGTGGTGGTGGTTTTGCGGTAAATGGGATTCTCGAAGTTAATCGAGTTGATGCGTCGCTTGCTGCAGTAGCGATAGCCAATGAGCAGGAGCTGTTTGGTTGTTTGTGGAAACAATTGATTAGGATTCTGCTCCAAATTCCCAATGTGTGTCCCCAACTTACCACCGAGAGGAGGACTGCAAAGCAACTGAGACTGGCAATGACCACCAGCGCAATAAAGCCAGAGTCCGGCTGTGGACTGGGCGCTGTGGTCTGTTCGATTTGGGTTTGGTTCTTTACAGGACGATGGTCGGCAACTGCGAAGAAAAAATGATTTAAATAAGACGTTTTTTTTTAAATTAAAGTGAAGAGTCATTCGCAAACATAAATAATTTAATATATTTTATGAATATTATGTGTTTACAAAAAAAAAAAAACGGGTGATAAATGATTCATAAATGAAGTCAACATACTAAAAACATACAGAACAAAAAAAGTACAGAACATTGCTCCTCAACCGCAAATTTTCATCAATTTTAATATTTGATACCATTTTTTTTATAAACCGTATCACCAGTTAACATTAAACGTTTTTTTATACATATCTAAAAATATTTGTAATCTTTGTTTAACATTTATTTTTAGCTCTCATTTTTTTTTGGGATATAGGGTTGGTTGTACCACCCCTTTAAGATGATTTTATTTTTCGCACAATGACAGGGCTTAAATTCAGCTTTACCTTGGCCAATGATAAACAAAGAGGGAAACTGTGTGAAAAGAAAACGGAAATCATTGCAATAAAAGAGCAAAACGAAAGAGGGAATCAACATCAAAATCCAAGCGGCTTAGGGCCGGCAAGCGGAGGCCTTATGCGAAGGGATCGCCCAGGCTCCGCTTCCGGCGCCACCCACCGGCGGAGATGCGAAGGAATTTTCAATCAAATCGCTCAAAGTGCGCATTTAGGCGCAAATAAACACTTAAACGCGCTCGCGCCTTTGATGGCGCAAACTTTTATACGAGCGAGAAGCGGGATGCGGCCGCCACCGATTTAGATTGGGAATGGGAATGGAAATGGAAACGTAATGACATCGTTAACGCAGCGCATTTAATGGGATTTTGTCAGCCGTTGAGGGTGTTTTCTTCTAGTCAAAACAGTAAAAGTTATCAACATTAAGCTGAGCCGCACTTTAAAGCAAACACAGGAGGCCCTGCCGAAGGCGAAGGCATCAGGCGTGCCGATATTATTAACCTCATACTTTGCGGTTGGATATTTGTGGCACAATGGCGGTGGAGCACGAAGGTGGTGGGTTATTGGACACCCGGACGGTTTCAATTGCAGCATTGGCCCATTGCCTGCCTGCTTGTGGTGCGGTTGGCAGCGAAGCTGCAAGTGGCTCAGTTCGGATGGCGTTTATGAAACTGTCAAGTATGGGGTGCAGCCTCCCTCCCACGCCATGACGATGATTAATGTGGGCCATGACAAAGCAAATGTTGCGGGTAGATGCTGGTGGAGACGGAGGTGCCACAAAAGGGTTTCAGTTCTCTTGGCAAGCAGTTTGATTAATTTGCTCGCAATAAATCTGAATCTCACAAAAGTGTTTATGAACAGCCCGAAAGAAAGAAAGAAATCGTGCCACTAGCTGAGAGAGATGTTGAACTTATAAATTAAGAATAACTAGCATGCTTGTCAACCCATTCAGGAGGACAAATATCGAAGGTTGCCCCAAAAGAATATTAATCAAAATTTAAGATGAAATCTGATAAGCAAGGATTTTTCATCCCAAACACTTTTCGAACATCACGAATGAAACATATACCGATTTGGGACTATAAGTTGGACAACACAATGGGTCTATATATCCACACAGAACTAAACACAGATAAAGGTTTTCCAATCCTACCAAATGAGGCTTTTGAGACTGGCAGTCTGCTGTTCAAGTGAACCTGTTGGTTCACTTCAATCCGGATGTTGGCATGTCCTACATGGATGCCGGATGGCAGTCGGTGCTGCGAAAAGGACGACCTGGGTCTCGTTTTGAAAGCCCGCGGTGGTTTCGTTCTGGGTTCTATGTACAGAGCTGCATGCACGTGCAAGTCATGCCGGGTCGGGGAATCAAGGGTTAGTAATCAGAAATCAAAAGTTAAGCCATGCGGGTTAAATCAAAAGCAGAAGCGTGACTGAATATCCTGGAATACTTACGATCTTCGACACACATGAGGCCGTCGGGCATCAGCTTCAGGCCCGTGGGGCAGGCGCAGGATATGCGAGGGCTCCGCTCGTTAATCCTGGGAGCTGGCAGGCAGAGATGAGAGCAGTGGCCATTCACTGACTGGCAGTGGTTCACGCCATCGGGCTGGCGGTACGGGTGGTAGACATGCACCACCATGGGGTGTTGTAGCTAATTGAGAACAAAATTCAGTTACTGGGATGTTTGAAAATTCAAAAAACTTTTAAAGAATTAAATGTATGTCTAGTATTCACTTCACGTTAATATTCATGTTACGTATACGACATGTGGCTCTTGTGAACTTATTCAAAAAAGTTCGTATAATAATATTTATTAAAAGAGGTTTTATCTTAAAAGACACAAAATTTTTAGCTAAAAGTTAAAGTCGAATGTAATTTAAAAAAATACAACAAAAAAAAAATAAAAACAAAAAAAAAATAATTATTTTTCCGATTTTGCGGGCTAGCTTAAGTGCAACCTATGAGAATCGAGGAGGAGGGCGCTATTTTTTAATTAATTATTTTTAAATATTTTATTAAATAGCTACCAAAATAAATCATTTTCTGGAATGGAATCATAAGCAAAAAAACCGTAAAATTGTACTGCCCATTACTCTTAGACCTTCAGGCGCCCTTAAAAGTTGGCAACGGAAATTAAGAGTTTACATTTTCTGATTTTTAATTTATAAAAAAACATGTTTTCTTTTAGAAATTATAGAAGAATTAAGTGGCTAATAAAACATTGTAAGCTTTTATATCCCGCCAGCTATGTATTGGCTTATAGGGTACAGCTATATATAGTTTTTATACGAAAATTTTAAATAAAAATTAAATTTAGAGTTTGTTTACCATATGAGTGGCTGTAACGGCTTCCACGTCCTCTCCAGTGAACTTGTTGGCCTTGAAGACGGCCTGCTTGTCCCAGTCGGTCCAGTAGACGTGGTCCTCGAACGTGGTGATGGAGAAGGGATGCCGCAGGTATTCGCTGGAGTACAGCACTTGGCGGCGCTGCGAGCCGTCGTAGTTGGCCGACGAAATGATGTTCAGCTTGCCGTCCACCCAGTAAATCCTCTTAAGAACCAAATCCAGGGTGATGCCATTCGGCCACTTGACATCGTAACTGATGATGGTGGTGCGGTGGGAGCCGTCCATGCCCGCCCGCTCGATGCGTGGAGAGGCGCCCCAGTCGGACCAGTACATCCAGCCCTCAATGGGGTCCAGGGCGATGGAGCGTGGAATGTCTAGGGAGTCCTTGATAAGTACCTTGCCCATGCTGCCCTCGAAGTTGGTCAGCTCGATGGTGCACTTGTGGGTGTCCGTGTAGTAGACGTGGTTGTAGATCCAATCCACGGCCAGTCCGTCGGAGGTCACTGAGCTCTGCTTCAGCACTACCGTCTTCTCGTTGCCCTCGTCGATGGGTGCCTTGTAGATACTCTGGGTGGTCACGTCGCTCCAGAAGATCATGCCCGTGCGGAAGACAAAGTCCAGGGCGGTAGCCGCCTTGGTGCTGTTCACAATAGAGGTCATCTCCATGTGGTCCAGGGCGATTTTTCGGATGTCATGGCGCCGAGCCAGTAGCAGAGAGGCGTGTCCTTCGCTGGCCTTGCATCTGGTGTGATTGCGGGGATCTCTCATGTATCCTGCCTCGCACTCGCACTTGTATCCACCGATTTCGTTGACGCAAATCTGTGAGCATTTTCCCGGAGTTTCGCACTCATTGATGTCCTGGCAGTTGCGCTTGTCTGAGGATAGCTTGTAGCCTTCGTGGCACTCGCAGCGATGGCCCACCGCCAGGTCCACACACCTGTGCATGCAGCCTCCGTTCTTGGAGGCACACTCGTTTACAGCGCACTTTCCAGCTGGCTCGTCCTCGCCGTCCGGACATTCCTTTCGCTTGTCACAGACTTTGGAGAGGGGAATGCACTGGCTTCCGCCGCAGTCAAACTCTATGGTGGCGTTGCAGACTCCTTTGGCAGAGCCCAGGCTGAAGCTCAAGCCGCAATCCTTTTCGTCGCTGCCATCCGCACAGTCTTTGTCTCCGTTGCAGGTGAGGTGGCCGGGAATGCAGCTGCGATCGCCGCACTGGAACTGATCCGCTCGACAGCTGACGTTCTTGCAATTGGCCGTGTGCTCATCATCACCATCCGGACAGTCGCGATCTCCGTCACAGAGCCAGCTGTGGTGCAGGCAGGTGATTCTGTCCTTGCACTGGTACTCGTGGGGCAAGCAAGGCGTGGTTGTCTTGGTAACATTCGCACAGGACTATCGGGAAAGGATTTTAAAGACAGTTTTGCTTAGAAACCTAATATTGAAACTTTAAAAATTAATCCTAAGGTTACAAATTCACCAAAATTCGATGTGGAATCCAAAAAGAGGGTTAGGCTGAGAAGCCGGACAAAGTTTCGTGGTCCCTGTGGGAAAAGTTTTCCCTTCGAGCACACAGGAAATTATGCAACCCCTCTAAGCATGCAAAAATGCAATTTTATGCGTGCCATGCGTTGACAACAAAAGCTGCCAAAGCTGGCAGGGCGCTGAGTTATGCCCAACTTGGCCATAATTTACGTGGCTTAAACCGAACCACCCTTCTCAAAAAAATAAAAGGAAAAACGGAAGAATGCCCGGCTTGGGGCAGCCAAGCCCTCATTCTTTTTGGGACTCCGCCGAAATGGAAATTTATGGCAGGCATTATTCAACTCACCCTCTCATCGGAGGCATCGGAGCAGTCGGGATCGCCGTCGCACACCCACCGCTTGGCAATGCAGGCGCCGTTGGAGCAGGTGTGCTCCGCCACGGAGTCACAGGGCACCACTGGGCACTCCTTCTCGTCGGTGCCGTCGCCGCAGTCGTCGTCGTGATCGCACACCCACCGCTTCTGGATGCACCGGCCATTGCCGCAGGTGAACTCGTCGGAGCGACAGGTTTGGTCTGGGAATTCATAGAAAATATTCAGAAAAGGTCGCCAAAGAAAAGGAGTTTGTGAAAAAAAGCACCAAAATGAACCCAACAGCAAATGAACTTGGATGGAGTTGTTAGATGCAAAAGGGAGTTAACTTAAAGAAAGTAAAGAAACCACAGAGAAACTTAATATTTGTATCAACAAGCCACCAAATATAGATGTATTTTGGTATGTTATTTGGGTTATTGGGGATAAACGAAAATGAATTACAAGCCCCTTTTTGTGAAGAAAACTAAACATGTAAAATGATTCATTTCTTAATATAATTTTCCCCTCATCCTAGTATTTGATAAAGTAAAGCGCCCCAGTTCGATATCGGAATGTTAGCCACAAATGGAGAGCTTAAATAAAAGCAAACTAGAAATGAAAAGCCAAATGTACTGCGGTTGTTCAATGGAAACAAATAATTATCAATGAATTTGAAAGGATAAGCTAGAGGAGCTCGAGTAAAAATTAAAAACCGACTAAATGCTGAAAGGATGCTCAACTAAACTGAAACCAATTTGCCACAATTCAACGGAAATGCTGGAGTGAAACAAAAGCAAACATTATATCCTAGGAGATCAAAGGAACTCAGTCATGGATAAATGGTAAGATTTAAGCTCAAAGAAAATAATTACAGCATTTCAATGAAAACAATTTTTTTAAAGTAAAAGAGATTCAACATTCCGAGGAGAAAGAAAAGCCATCAAAGAAACTCATGAATAATCTAGAAACTGTGTTGACTAATTAAAAGTTGGAATTGATTGACAGATTGTCCTTACTGCAGTTGTGCTCGTCGGAGCCATCGCTGCAGTCCTTGCTCTGGTCGCACATCCAGGCCAGAGGAACACATTGTCCTTCGCCATTTTTGCAGGCATACTCGTCCGGTGAACAGGTGCGGGCCTCTATCAAAGTTGATGTGCATTTCAAGGAAAATATAAAAGGAAAAAGTATAAAGTTGAGTTGGCTTTGTTCCCACACATGCATACATAGATATAACCATAAATTCATTTATTACACAAGATTTCCTTTGCCACCCTAAACGTCTAAAAGGGAAATATAAGTTCAAATATTCCATCAGATTCAGAAGGGGATACGTTTATGGGTCAGATGTCTTCGAAGTGGCGACTTACAATAGCACTCTTAAATACAATGGAATGTGGCTAACAGGAATCCTTAAACGAAGTAAGATTCTTTAAAATCGTATTAGCTAATCTAAGAATCTATCTATTAAGCCTTTAGTGGAATAGTTTTTGTAATACATTTTGAGAAATCAACTTTGTTTGATTCTTTGTTTGCGAAGTAACACTGTGGCTCACCAAGTATATTGTGGAAACAGCGGGATTAAGCGCATTTTATGCTACGAGTATCCCCACCGACAACGCGTCGTATACTTGTTGTCAAGGGCTGCCATGAATGAACAGCACACACACTCTCGTTGCGTTGTTTGAACACACAATCACAAACATGTACATTGTACACCCCCCCAAATACACACACAAGCGACTCTCGCTCTCAATGACTTGATTAAACTTCTAAGCACAAGTGGGGGTGGACGATGGGAGGGAAAATTGTTGCGAAAATTATGCAAGCGCCACTCCATTAAGGGTGCGTATGAGTTATGCGGCAAGTTGGTTAGCGAAAGCGATTACACGGCGAGTGCCTCGGTGCTTGAGAGCTTTTGGAATGCATAGATGTTGATTTTGATTCGCTTACTGCAGTGCGCCTCATCGGATTTGTCGCGGCAGTCGGGGCTGCCATCACAGAGCCAGTTGCGGGGAATGCACTGGTCGACCGACTCGCATTTGAACTCATTGTTGGGACAGGCATCCACTAAACGGGGAAACGTAAGATGTTAGGTCAATACTGGCTTACCTAGGCATTAAGTTAAGACTTTGCTCTTTATAAAGGCTAAAGGATATGTATACTTACTGCACAAGTCCTTGGACTCATCAGAGCCATCGGCACAGTCCCTCTCCTGATCGCAGCGCCATTTGTTGGGGATGCAGTTGCCGTTGGTGCAGCGGAATTGATCCGTGGAGCAAGTGGCCTCTGCAAAGAGCAACAAAATTCAAGTTAAATTGAGCGACAGTAGAGGATTTTCTTGTATATGTGTATTATACCCCTCAGATACATATACGATATGTGTTTTGAACTGCCTTTTGAACTCTACCAGCGACCCGTATCAAAAACAAAAGCCAAACAAATACCAAAGGAAGCAGGGGCACTTGGCAATATTCTCGTGTTTATGAATGCCTGCGTGTGTGTGCGACCACACCCACCGCCCAACACACATACATAGTTATTTACACGCACTTGAGCACGTGCTGAGCAGGGCAAATACACCATAAACAAACAAAAAGGAACGTTGCAATGGTTTTTCAATGCCACTCCAAGGGGCACGAAAAATGTGTCGTTTTTTTTCTGAAAGCTCCACGCGCACACATATATAGAAATATGTTTGGTTTGTAATAGGATTAGTCACTTTTTAAATCCGCCGCTGACTTGTTGCTGGGAAATTATTGAGGGCGGTGGTCACAGAATTTCTACTGCATACTTTTCGAAGCCATTGCGGCAATTAGACAGGCTTGGGAGGATTTTTCAATGCCCGACTAGGCACAACTTGTTTGGCAAATTTTGGTGGCCATTTGGCAAATTCTTGGGGCAGTTTGGAGCAATTTTTACGACCTTCATAAAATAGAATTCGAGGCATTTTGGTGTAAATGATCGGAACATGGCCTGCGGCCATACCAAATTGCTGTTGATTATGCAAATCTTGGCCGGGTCCAAAGGCAGTGCCTCCACTCTAAAATTTTTAATCAATTTTTATGCGTGTCGGACAAGCCGAGTGCTTGCCATATCAATAACATTTTATATGATTACTTTTCTAAAACTTTTTGTGGACGGGAATGAAATGTGGCATGAACAAAAAATGTGTGTGCGTAGGAAACTTGCACCCAACAAAACTTTGATGTGAGCCAATATTTGTCAAAAAAAAGAACAAAATCAGGCGAAAGCAAAACAAAAAGGCAAATATAAATACACATTCAGTGAACAATAAAAAATTGGCTACATGTGTGGCCCAGGCTGCTAAAAATAAGTGGATATAAAAAACAAGAGGGGGTTTTCTGTGCAAGTACCATTTTTGGACCGACCCTCCATCGGTTCAATTATTGTCGATTCAATTTTATGTTATTTTTTCCGTGTTTGCGTTCAGTTTTTGCTAATATGTGACATTATTTTGGGGCTATTGCGCCCAGAGGACAAATTGGGAATTTCCATCGCTGCACACTTGTTAAAATTTGATGTCCCCTTGTTCCCCAATTAACAATCAAATTACACCAGTTTCCGCATCATGTCGCATGTCACGACAAGGGGAAACTTTTATTGATTGCGTTTATGCAGTCCCCCAAAAACCGAACAAAAAATTATAAATAAAATGATAAAAGTTGCGCTGTCATGCAGGGTTTTGCAGCATAATTTATTTTTTTAACTAAGTTTAAACGGCTTTTCAGTTGATTAAAAAACTTTGGCCTTTGGCAGCAGTTGTTCCCGTGCATGCCGCCTGCCATCTCGCTTGGTGCATGCCTCCTGTCTCCAGCCTCCTGCCTCCTGCCAATTTGTATGCAAATGTTAAGCGGCGCTGGCAAAAATATTCTGTTGCATACAAGCCATTGCTGGCATTGCTCGCAGGCTGCATAAGGACTCGGGGCGGAAAACAGAAAAAATGGAGAAACCGAAACGGAAAAGCTAAATATTCGGTCTGAGGGACGAGTGGATTTTTGTAAATCCAAATGATTGGGATTTCGGCATGTTTAATTTAAGTTAAAAGGTGTTGAAAACTTTCCGACCTGATAATAGTTAAAAGTTTCCCCAACTTTATCTAGTTTAACCGAGTGTTTCTCGGTGTTTCGAGTTTACTTTTTCGAGCTAGGAGTCCCTTAGGACTGATAAAAGGGCTATGATACTACCACCTCAAGTTGTAAAAAGAACCTTAAACTTTTCAAGATTTCGTTAGAGTACTAGATAAAATTTAGGTGACAGAGTAAACATTAGAGCAACACGCACGAGCAACACGGGATATTGATAAGAGTATAGACTTCAAATAGTAATATATTTTTCTATAAAACAAAAAATTCTCTATCAGATAATAAAACAATCCATTCAATAGTTCTCTTTAAACCTGTTTTAAACCTTTTACATTAAAAAAAATCCATTTTGGATCCAAATACTGTATTGAATATAAATATTTTAAGCCCAAAAAACTTGTATTCATACCGTTTATGGCCAAAGCGCGAAAACTGTGGCTTTGTGAGTGCAGCAAGCTGGTCACAAACAATAACGACCAAATGCGACCCATTTTGTGGCGGTGACAACGAATATTTCCGCGGCGTTCACGTTTTCTTTAAGTAGTTAAGAAGATTAAGCGATGAATATTTCAGTTGTATTTTCAAAGTTCTTGATTATGAATTATAAATGACACAAACACCGCACAATTTCCATCATAAAGACAGGGCCATCATTGGCGGATTGCGAATTGCGAGGGGCTAACAGTTCAAGTGACATATTTGCGAAGTTCAGCCAAGTTGCACAAATTGATTGCATAATTTCCGCAAACAAAACCTGCCCTCGGGCAGGACACTTTCAAGTTCATTATGGCCGCACTGGACGGCAGACAGACTATATATATAAATTGTAAACATGACACTCCATTTCTGGGGTCAGCGCGGAAGTGGGATGGGTGGTCGGGAAATTGCGGAAACTCATTTAATGTTCCACTAAATGATAAATGGCCAGAGTGCTCCTGGGGGTGGAAGTCAACCCCATCAACAGTCACCGATTGACTTTTAGGATAGCTTTGAGAATAACTAGAAACGGAGACTTCCTTGGCGTATCCTTGAGCAGAGAACTCGCCAAGTGGCCGTCAGGATTTTCATGTCCTGCTGCTGGCGTTTTGTCAAAGATAAGACGAATCTTGGCAATGGCTGGCTGCTCGCAGTCTGATTAGCCTTAAATGTTCTTCGCAATTTGTTTATTCTTTGCAGGATTTAAGTTTCAGGACACACGGAAACACTTTTTTGGCACACATTTACTGGCTTACTTTTTGCACGTTTTTTTTTTCGATTTTCTTTTCTCGTTTGTGGTTTTGTTTTTCTTTGCTTGCTTGAGTTTGAGGGGCTTTCCCCGTCTATATGTAAATTGGCTCTGAATGGGTGGCAGAGTCCTTTCACACTCGACGCGCTAACTGGTCTCGATGTCGTCCGCTTGGTTGAGAGGTTCGCCGCCAACTGAGTGTTTGGCTTTGGAGCGGCCATCCTTAAAAACAATTCCGCCCAAAGTCGTTTGCAGCCTCCACAGCTGCCGAGAGACTCGGCCGAAAGCTTGCCACCCAGCCAAAAAGCGAGTCGAGTGCAAAAATCCGACTCTGCTCGAGAGGAATTTGCTCGAGTGGAGTGCTTTTTGAATGAGTAGGACTCACTTGGTATTGTCAAGTGATAATTGAGTGATGATTTAGAGTCCTGTGAGTTTTATATATTATATTTGATAACAAAAAAATGTAAGGCTATTTATTAATAAATATTTATGTTTTATTAGCTTTTGAGATATCACTATAAAAAGTTCCCATCCGCTTTGAGAGATATCTGGGGCAAATTCCAGCACCATTATAAAATTCGCTCAAGTTCAACCGACAATTACTTTTCTTTTATTCTCGCATCGTGCCTCATTATCAATTTCACTTGGCTGCAATTAATTCCTCCAGCTCTGGGTTACATAAGACAATTGCGATACACGCCACCAGAAACCTAAAAAGGGATGCACTCGCTTTTCTTGGATGGCTTAGTCTTTGGTGTCTGGTACTAGACAGTTGTGAGATAAATCCAAGGCAGACGACCTCACATAGTTTCCTTTTACGAGTGGACCGCGCAAGTCGCAAAAGTCTCGTGCGACGCAAATGATAAAGTGGCAGACTGCGGCAGAAAAAACGCATCGAATTGCTGATGCAACATCGGGTGCATGTTGCACTCGGCTCGGCTAAATGCGTTGCAATTTGGAGCCGGACGGCGGCGAGGGAACTGCCATGGCACAGTTTTTGGTCAGCAGTCAGCGACAATTGCGATGCGTAAATGTTGCAAACTAGTTTCGGTTTCGATTTCAGTTTCAGGTTTGTCTCAAACAAAAGGAAAACCGACGCATGCCCCAAGCTCCCCTCCGGAATGACCACCGTGACTAACAGCGCGGACGCTAGTGTGGTCATTCTAGTCCAATGGTTGCCCAAAAGTATGCTACAATTTAGGAAAAATTGTAAACATGGCGCGCAAGCTGTAAACATGGCGGATATTGTTTTTTTTTGGTAACAGAATCCATTTTAGATGTGTTTTTTATCTGAATATCATAAACACCAAATAAATAAACACAAATAAACAATGAATCTTACTCCTTTTGTTATGAAATGAATTTTATGATCTGGATTTAATGTATTTATGGTAATTATGTCATCAAATGCATAATAGTTTTTGTAAACAATCATATTAAACCCAAAAAAAGAAACATTGTATTTTTACTTTAAAAAAACAAATATTCAAATACATTTTTAAATGACATACCATCCAAATCTATTGTTTTTTTCGCACAAATATAAAATGAGAACTAATTATTTGATTGAATTAGTATTTTAAGAAATAAATGAACTAAATCGTGCATGATTTTAGAGATAATAAGTGCCAATAAATCGTCTAATTAATTTATAACAAATGACCCATGAAATTATTTATTTTAATTGTTATAGTTTATTCAAAAACATATCCTTTTTTCTTACCTAAAAACTTGCACTCGTTTATCTGCTCGTCACTGTGGTCCTTGCAGTCGGCATCGCCGTCGCAGACAAACCGAATGGGAATGCAGTCGCCGCTCCGGCATTGAAATTGCTTCTCGCCGCACTTGGCCTCCAGAGATTGTCCTGAAACGTAAACAGATCCTGGTTGTAGATGGGCAAACAAATGCTTAAAGCTAATTATAACGGCTCCGAGTTGTCGACTTAAGGGCCCGGGGCCACTCTCGCTCCCACAAAAGTTTTCTCATTAAAGGAAAAATAACAAAAGCTCAAATTGATTAGGGCTAAAAACTTCAAAAACAATCACCCGACCTACACATACATATATCCTGGAATCTGGCTCTTTGCAGACATATGGGTGAGTGTGACAAGTAATTTGCATACTAAACGATAAACAAGAGGCATGAGCGGATGGCTCAGCCAGCTTAATCAACAGAAAAGCCCCCAACAAAATGGATCACAAACTTTTGGGCCACCTCCCCCCTTCTTTTTTTGAATCCATAGACCCCGCACTTGTGCAATAAACATATTTGAAACAAAACAAGCCATCACACAGGCAGCAGCAGCAGGATGTCCCAAGAATGTCAACAGTCTTAGGGACCTAATACAAAATGTGACAGGCACTCACAAAGGAAATAAAAAGCTGAATGTAATAGATTGCTATTCAGCAAACAGCGAGAGAGGGCCTGAAGTGGAACCGATTTTGAAAAGGGTACTCTGGACCGCCTGCTGCTGACAGACTGAAAGCTTGACCCATTCACACGACCCCTTGGTAGGTCGCTCGACCCCCCAGCAGCTTGCATATTTCAATGCCCAATATTTTAACGATCACATATGCTGAAACCTGTTAATTGTCGTAATTGGACTTCGCAGCGAAATCGAGTGCGTGTGGCAAAATAAACAAAGGGCCATCTCCGATTGTGGGCCGTCAATCAATAAGGTCAAATCAATTCAATTTTGTGTACGGCTGTGTCGCCGCAATGGCTGTCCTGGCTGGCCTGGCTGCCCGGGAATTGTTTTCAATTATGTATGATGACAGTCGACAAAATGTCGAATTATAATTCAGCCATATGCATGCATATATTTGCGAGGCAGATGCGAGATAATATTTGTGTGGACATGCGAGTAAGTCTGACGTCAAGCTGCTCTATGAATGGGTTTCTTTGCCTTAAACTGGAAACATTTGAATGAATGGATACAAAAATAAACACGATTTGTTTTCAACCTAATTTTAAAATGGATGCTTGATAAGGGTCTCTCATTTATTATTATTCCCAAAGTACAACATTGCTTCTATTTTCGCTTTTATCTACCAGGTACTTATCAAAACTGAGATTAGTTTAATTAAACTAGTTGAATTTAATTATTGATTAAAGTTTTCCGCGATAACCTGGACACACCCCACATCCAGCAGCAACCAGTTCGACATGGACTTCCAGCTAATAGCTTCAGACTTTGTGGCAGACTTTGAATAAATATCGAAAATCAAACTGCTTAGCATAGCTAATGATTTTGATAATAGTAAATGCAAAAACAAGTCCACACACAATCCGGTTGGCTTAACCCACTAAAATTCAGCCAGCATACGGACATGATCAGGTGATGTTTCTATTAAAATTATATGAATTGATTCGAATATCTGAGGGTCATGAGCAATTAACCAAACACATAATTAATCATAATTGTATGAGATATAAGCATAGGTTACATATACCGATAAGAATATCAGGTATGCACAGTAACTGAAGTGCTGGGAAAATATTTGAATCAGCTATAAATGGCAATTCAGCAATTAATGTTAATTCGCATGTGAATGTCAGCATTGATAAGCACGGGTCTCCGATTACGTCAAGTTGAAGGTTAATGGATTAGCTGATAATTGTGGGAATGAATTGATTTTTTTTTCATAAATAAAGTGACACAACACGTGATTCTCGAGGGATCTGACGAAATGTTGATTTGGGCATCGTATGAGGCATCAGCAAATTCCCCCAGAATTGAATCAATCAAAACATGTTTACAGTAAACAAACAAAACAATTAAACTGCATCAACATCGGACACTTTATGTAAGACGAACACGCCCCCTTTCAATTGTTGTTGTTGGCGATTCCTAATACTGGCACAAACTAGTTATATATGCTAGAGAAATCTGTTGGCACTGCGAATAAATTAAAATCTTAAACGAAATGGGGCGCAAAAATAAAAATTGAATCAAGTTCTGTGTCTCTCTTCGGCGACCTTGCCGCATTGCACAGACCAGGCATAAGTAAAAAGTATATATCACTTTAGGCATATGCTCATTTATCTGACAGTATCTCTCAGATATTAAACAAGCAACCAAATCAAATCGAATTAGCCATAAATCAGCAGAAAGCGTCGACAATTGAGCGAGTCTAACACCCAGAGAGGTAATGACATGTAATGCGCCACTATACATCGCGAACAGATAGAGAAATAGGGGCTCGACTCGGTCTATATTTGTGTGTTCACAGCATGCTCACCAGAATGCTCGAAAATATGTTTAATTTTAACCAAGCCGACGCTGTTGGACGGGGACATTTTTCTGGACCACGTCAATTTGTGGCAAATGTATCTCAGAAATGCGCCGTGTTTTTTGTGCGGGAGGATCATTGTTTATGTCAACAATTTCATTTATTTTGAGCAAAGTCCAATAGACTCAAGGGCAAAGTACAAAAGGCAAGTAATTTGTTATTTTCTTATCCAATAATAGAAGCATCTATAGGGCTATTTTTTAAATAATAAAAATACCCTTGTCTTTAGAAAAACTTTCTTGTCAGGATTACACAGAATTTCCATGTATTTATGGGCTTGATTAAATTTAATTACCAATTATCTAGAATAACTTTTCAAGGACTTCCTGCATTTATTTTTCGATTCAATTTACTATCTTTATATTCACATTTTGATTTATACAGGGAAATTTGTAATTTCTATTGTCTGGCTGCCCTTGGAAGTGGCACTCGACGCGGAATCGCAAATCGACAAGTCGCAGGGCATGAGAAATGCATAAAAACAAATCGTAAAATTACCAATCGACCGATAAGATAATCCCCCAGTTCAGGGCTCTAGCATATCCCTCGGTCAAAACAGGTGCCTAGATTTAATATTTGATTTATGATTGGAAAGGCCCGTGCCAACTTCGTCATAGACAGACGCCACCAGGCCATCACACAAGTAGTCTATCTCACATGGCCGAAAGAAGATAAAGATTGGGGAAGTCCGAGGCGGAAATCAATACGGAAGTACAATACATTAAGCAATTTTTAGCCTATTTTTACCGGTTTTTGTACCACGGTTATCATTAGTGCAACAAGTGGCAGATCGCCGGCCGGTGATTTGCAGTTTTGTATCTTTTTCCTAAAATAATTTTAAAAGCGTACTGCTGGGGTTATTAGTAAACACTTTTATGATAGTTTTGTGACGTATTTTCTTTTGTTTACTCTGGAGTTGTCTACATATTTTTTATATTTTAGGGGCTATAATGTTAAAATAGGTTAAGTGGGTTTTAAAGATCAGCTCCTTATTTCTATAACTAAATAGATATCATTATAAATATTTTTCAAATTTTTTTACTCTAATAAATACAAAATGTATTCAAGATATCAAGATATTTTAAGCCTATAGTTTTGATATCAAAATTCTGCTTCTTATATATTTTACTTTTGCATTTAGCAGACCCTGGTAGACTAATTTAAATTTAAATTTAAGCCAGCTGCACTTTTATCGAAAAAATAGGGGAATAAATTAGCTTTCATGGGCTGTTCTATGCAGGTTTTGAATTCAAAATCGTGATCAAAGTTTAGTCTCTAGAGATTTAAGAAATTAATTCATACCCAATAATAGACAGATTGTAGTATCTTCATCTTATTATAAATCCATCATTAAGATACATTTCCTATTAAGTTGTTATATATAATTTTGAACCTAAGATACCTATTACTTTGCATCTCACCTATGCCGAGTGGTGTGCCAATCTTTCCGGATACGTTCAGAAACTTAAAGCTCATATTGATAAAGGCCTTGCCATCGAGCAGCTTGCTCAGCGCGCCGCCCCCTTCCAGTTGTTGGGGGCTAACTGTTGTGGCGGCAGTGGGCGGCGTGGGCGTGGCAGTGCAGCATTTTCCAAAGCCGAGCACCAGCGTCAGCAGCAGCAGATTGAAGCCGGCGCAGGCGCGACTGAACAGCTGTTCCGCCCGTCGCTTGCTGATCTCGTTGTTGTGTTGTTTGTGGCTGTGGTTGTTGTTGAGATTGTTGGATGTTGCAGTTGTTGGCGAAACCTTATTAACGGTCGCTGAGATTCTGATATCACTTGCAGTGCTCATAGAGCGTGACACTATGGCCATGGTATGATCTGTTACTTGTCTGGTGATTTGCTCTGCACTTGTTTTGGCTTTACTTTAGTATTTAGTTTAGCACTTTTTTCATTGATCTGACAAAGTTTTTACTCTGTTTGGGGGCATACGAAGAGATGGGGTTAAGAGGGGGCATGGCGACCGTGGACATAAGATTATCTAAGCAGGAAGCGTGAGATCTCCGCCAGAGATTATCTAATCAGAGAAATGGCCAGAACGTAAAAATAAACGCCAGGTTCTCCGCAGAAAGCATTGACAAATCGCTTGCCAAAATCCAAACAATAAAATGAATAACAAACGATCTGGCTACTTCTCTTTCTCGAATCTTGGCCGGCAGCTCTCTTCGCATTTCTCGAGATGAGATGGCCGAAACAAACTGGTTAAAATCGTGCGACACAGCAAAAAAAATAATACGGGCCGAAAAACGAGATGTTGCCAAAAACAAAAGCCGAAAGCCCGAAAATCCACGAATGAAAAATGTATCAAAAATATCGAAAAATAAATACGAAAAGCGCGAACCGAGAAACGCACAAAAATAAGCGTAAAAGCCAAGCACTTTTGTTGACGTTGGCAATTATAAAAGTTGAAGTAGAATTTGAATTAACGGGCAGGGACACGCCCCCTCGATCGCGCACGTTAATTAATTAAATATTGTTTTCGTGGATATTTCACAGTTGGCACGCGTTCGTCAGGTCCGATAAATGCCGTCTTATCAGTTTATTTTGGTTTTGGTATTGTTTGTGCTATTTTCAAGGTGTCTGCGAATTTGCAACACGTGCTTTTCTTTTTTTTATATTTTTTTAATTTAATTATCATAATATTTTACATTACATACAGTTTATTTTTTATTTAAAGTTTGTTTAGATTCTTTAAAAAAAAATTAGCCGCAAAAAACGCTGCTGCCCCTGTTCGTACAACGCGCCTTTTTCAACTAAATTGGTTTCGAGAATTGGCCTGCGAATTTAAGCGAATTGGCAAACGATTTTGATTCGAGCGAGCGATCGTTGTCTGGGCCTGAGAGCGGTTTTTTCTGTGTCTGTGTTTGTTTTTGCGCCACCTCAAGGTGGCCTTATCAACATAAACTGACAAGAATACAACCTGGCCCCGTCGAAGAGATAACGCTAAGAGAAGACGCGACACTTGCAGCTCCACGATGCTGCATTCATCTTCTCTTAGCAGATCGGCTTTTAATTCGCTCTTAGGGGGACCTGTTGATCGGTAAACAATTCTCTATAGGGGATCAGATATATTTATCCTCAAGATACTGTTAAAAATTACACATTTAAAAACTTAAAATAATTTCTATAATAAAAAAGGTAACAAATAAAGCTACAAAATAAGGTTCCTATAAACTTAAATATATAATATTTTTCAAAGAAAGCTGTCTATATCTAGTCTAGTCTGTCTATATCACGTATACGTTGTAATACGTATCTCTAAGAAGTTTGCACTGAAATCCGATTAGTTTCTTAGAGAGGATAGATTCAAATTGAAGTGGAAAGACACATGTCAAAAGTATTAAAGCCGATAAGGTATTAGCCAACAAAGGAATTATATTTAATATTACCAGAGAACTATATTGCAGTATAAATTCAGAATAGCGTTAACTCTATTGTACCAACCTTGTGAAAAGGACAACGCCACAGAGATCAAAATTAGCAATTTCTTACAAATACGATTGTTGAACATCGTTTTTCACCAGAATCTATATTGTATCTGAAGCGTGTGACTTCCTTTCGGTTCTTTAGCGTTACCACCGCGTTATGGATTTCGTTTATCAGTGCGCCAAAAAAAGATACTTTTTTAATTAAGCCGGACGGGAGGCGGACAACCGGACGTAGAATGGCGCGATTATCGTACGATGAACGTGACGTCTTGCTAGGGCATACACACACTACCAGAAACTATATCCAGGTGTAAAAAGTCGATTAATATATACAAATATATGTATATATGTTGGGATTTTTTAGGAGCCGGAAGGTTTCACGGTGCGATGCCCAGCAAAGACGGACGCCAACTGAATCGGCATGGGCCAGTGGAAGCGAAATCGCAGCTCATTAGCATTGAAAGTAGTAGAGCTTTCAATCAGACCAGGTGTGTGATTGAAAATAGAAAATTCGAAATTGAATTCAATGGGTTTGGATTGAGTAGAATTGATTTTGATTTTAGTTGAGTTGAGTTAAGTCGAGTAGAGTTGAATTGATTTGACTGACGTCGATGGGCGACTGGCCGACTGATAAGAGCTGGTCAAAAAGCTGGCCAGCCGGAAACTTGAAACGTAAAACTGCAGCCAGCCAACAATGGGGTCGGGTCAGAATCAAGCGTCAGCCGTTAACAGCTCATCTTCACAACAATCAGTAGCATTAGCATCATTCCAATCAAAATCCAAATCACAATCGCCGACACCATCATCGTCATTCGTTTGGCGTCATCTGCATTTGTCGTAGCTTCCACTTGAAAGGGCCATAATTTATGATTTACGCGTGTAAATCATTTTTCAAGCACCACCCCCGCCATATTTGTGTGTGTGACAGTTGCAACGCCTCCACCCCTCCAGCAAAAGGACTCTGCCGTGCCCTGGGCTTGGTCCGCCGTTTCTAATTGCAGACATTCGCAATCACAGGCAAATCGGTCAAAATCGTGGCAAATCGCCTAATCAAGCACTTCAATTGACACTGCATTTTATCGCCATGGAGCCCCGAGTCAGTCGTGTGTTCAAGTTGTGTCGAGTGTGGGTACAGGAATTCACCCACACACACTCGTACACACATTTATCCGTACTGCCTTTGTGTTTTTGGCAGACGTTAAGGGCCTTCCTCATCCATTGTTGGCCAATCTATAGTCGAACTACAGAGCACTGATAGTGATCGCGGCACTTGCACCTCCGAGAAGTCTGACTGTAATTGCTATTTTGGGATTTCAAAAATTTATAAAGCTAAAAACCCCAGTAAATTAAACCTTAGAAAAAAAAATTGATAAAATAAAAATAACATACTAATTCTATTGAATTTAAAAATATGAATCACATCTTTAATGAAAATAATTATTGTCAATAATTAAATAATAGATCATGTGAATCGAAGAGTTCAAAAGGTAATTACATGACTCAAGTGAAAAGAAATGACAACACTTGAAAGGGTTCAAGTCAAGGGTTGTTACGAGCACTTCCAGGAACTTTCGATACCGATCTCAGGTTTTGGCTTTATTACGCATTTGTGGTAGGTCTGATTAGAATCGGCTTCGTTGGAAATACATTTTGCCATTTGTACAGTCCTTTGTTTATTTGTACCATTTGTACTACAGTCTTGTTTAATTGTTTGTAGAGTTGTTGAGAAAATTAAACCATTTTCTTTACGAATATATTACAAAGTTTCTATATACTGAAGGCACTTTAAGAATATACACTTAATTGGCGAGGTAATAAATTATTAAATTACGATGTTTTAATAGGTATTGTTTTAATTATTTCTTTCAAGATAATGTTGTAACTCTTGACAAATTTTTTCTACATTTTTAAACGGCTTTAAGCTATTGAATAAAGTAATTTAAATAGTAATTAGTAATATTTTTTCACTTGTAATTTTTTTTACACTTTTTATAAAATTCTTTTAAGCATATAAGAATATTTTAAGCTTCAAATGTGATTTACTTTTGAGATCAAAATATGTACATAAAAGGTTAATATGTACATATTAACATATTAAAATAATTTACAATTTTTACGATTCTTCTCCTGAAAAACTATTTGATTTTCAACAAAAACAATACCGATAGACTTATTATCTTCAACCGGAAACTGTTATCGAAAGTCGCGCTCGAATGGGAAAAGTCTTCGAATCGGAATGTAAACAGCGAATGAATGAAACGAAACGTCGGCCAAGATGTAACGGTAAATTTCACATGTGCCAAAATGACAATAGAAGCTGCTGCTGGTGCTGCTGGTCCTTCTGCTGACGTTGCTGCCTCCGTTGGCGTCGCTGCCGCGGCGACCGCGAAGCATTACCAGAGATTTTCCGCACTAACAATTGTGGATGCTACTGTAGATGTACTGTTAACTAGCTGTCAAGAGCTTAACAGTGCATGTTGCGCAGCGTCGGCGTTGGCGATATCGCTCATAAACGTCATTCAATGCCCATATCTTTATGTGTGCGACTGCTTCGGGGTGTGCGTGCAAGGGTGTGAGTGTGCCTGAGTGTATGAGTATGAGTGCCCAGCGAAGCGTTGCTAAATATGAAAGCATAAAAATTAATGTTATATTTATAGTGTGGCATCAAAAGTTGCGGCAGGAGGCGTTGCGGTAGCTGCAGGGCATCAGCCCAAGTAGTAGAGTCAGTACACTGAAAGAAACCTAGCCATCTATACAAGCTATCTTCTGGTACGATAATGCACATACCCCATTAATAACGGATTTGGCAATAATTCCAATAAATCCAAGAACTACTTTTGTGACATTTTAATGAAAACAATCTATATAATATTAATTTTATTTTCTGTGTACCGCCAAAAGTAACTGTTCTGGCCAAGTGCCGGGCCATGGATGTGTTAGCTGTTGTATTTGTTGGTATTTGCTTTGCCCAAAGGCAACTTGGTCGCTTCTGCTACTCTCCAGTCACCCAACTATTTGTAGTCCTGCCAGGGGGGAGTTATAAAATGCGACTGGGAGGGCACAGGCACGGAAAAAGGAGCCTCCGTTTATCCTGTTTGAATTTCAATAAACAGAGGAAAATATTTTTTGCGATAAATCGCTAAAATAAATATGGCATAGTATAGTTATGACTCGATAAAGAAAACAGGATAATGAAGCTGTCGGATGAAGCAGAGAAACAAAAGCTTATAAATGAGGAAACTAAAATATATCCCTATAACAGCTAAACTTAAGATTCCTACTTAAATATTCTTAATCTAAGCAGTTACCCACAGTCGATTACTTACTGTGAAGCTCCCCCGGCGGAATTTGTGGCATGCATTTGGTGTGTGCCCCACATACATACGTGGCATGCCTCGCCAGCAGCCGTGCGAAAGGGTTTGCGGCCAACGTGGCGTATGATGAATTCTTTTGTCTGGCAGAGCTT